GCTGGCCTGTAGCCTTGCCTGGCTATGGCCACGAAACTCAGCACCAACTACCTCGGAGAGAAGTTGCAACAGGGACCTGGAGGCAGGGCATGTGGAGTTGGAGGACAGGACTCTCAACCAATCTGGCAGTGTCAAGGGAAAGCCACTGCTCCAAAGATGGTAGTGAGTGCTTAGCTTAAGAGCCACGCCCCCATCCCCTCAACTCCCACCCCCGCATCTGCCCCATCTATGCCTTTGAGCAGAAAACTGACATCAGAGCAATAGACAAGAATGGCATAAATGAGGGGCCCAGGCCTGAACATCCATTAAATTGTAAATCAGGAAAACACAAACAAACAAAAAACCCAACCAACCAACCAACCCCCCCCCAAAAAAAAAACAAAACCCAGCTTGAATGGATACTTCTGAGATGACTACAGACATCTGAAGATGGGCTTAGAGGTGTCCAGTCCATGGCCTGTGGGGTGCATTCAGTTCAGCACAAATGGTTGCATTGCATAGTTTTATGGAATAAACATAGGTACACCCTTGAAACCTGGGAGCTTGGTCACCTCTACGATGTAACACAAGACAATTTTTTTTGTTCAGAGAAGCCAGATGTTTGGAGACCCTTGGAAATGATTTCTTAGGTGTATTAATGGTGTTTGGAGTTAGTAGCATGTTCTTATTTTTTAAAAGAAGTAGGCAGAAATATTTAGTAGTACATTGATTTGATGGCTGCGACTTATCCTCAAAGGCCTAGAAAAACAACAGCTGAGCAATTATTGCACAGTGCTCATGTGGGCTATTCCTAGAGCTTCCCTGAATTTTTGGGAAAAAAATTGAGACAGGTCTTACTTTGTAGCCCAGGCTAGCCTGATAGTCTTGGTCCACCTGTCTCAGTTTCTTGGGTTTATAGGTAATGTGTCCCCTATATCTGATTTGAATTTTCTTTGTTTCTTTTTCCTTCTTTGTTTCTCCTTCCTTTGTTTTTTTTTTTCCTTTTTTGGTAGGGTCTCACTATATATCCTTCTCTCCAACTGGTCTGAAACTTGCTGTGTAGATCAACCTTGTCTCAAACACATAGATCTGCCTGCCTCTGCCTCCCAAAAGTTCTGGAACTATAGGTGTGTACCACCACGCTCTGGCTAGCAGAAATATACTTGAAAAGAAAATGATCTACTTATTTTTGTTTTATGTGTATGGGTGTTTTGTCTTTGCATATGTCTATGCATATATATGTGTATGCAGTGTCTGTGGAAATGAGAAGCTGTTGGACCTTCTGGAACTGGGGTGACATGTGACTGTGAGCTGCCATAAGTGTGCTGGGAACCGAACCTAAGTCCTCTGCTAGAGCAACAGATGCTCTTAGCCACCGAGCCATTTCTCCAGCCTGAAATGCAATAAAAAGTAATCTGTTTATTTGTGTGTTACATGTGTATGTGCGTGAATATGAGTGTATGGAGATCAGTAGACTGCTTGCGGGGTTAGTTGTCTTCTTCACCATGTCAGTCAGGTTTGGAGGCAGGCACCTATATCCTCTGAGCCATTTTGCTGGTCCTGAAATACACTTTTGTGGTAAAAAGCTGAGAGGAAACCAAAAGTCAGATTTCAGACAAGAACCATTTAAGCCTCAGAGCAGAACTCTAATACATTTCTCAAACTTATGGAAAATGTCCCCAATTTATCATGGAGTGTCTTATTTCCTGCTCAGTCTTGTTCTAGAAGAGATTTAGGGGGACTCCTGCCCTGTTCTGCTGTGGCTTGTTCCGGGGAACCAGAGCCTGGAGAGGACAGATCAGCCCCATAGCTACTGAGGTCCCTTCCAGGGCTGGCCTCGCACAGATTTCTGGTTGCCTGAGGCAGATGAACAGGTAGACGAGCTCGGTTTTGATTCCTGGCTCTGCTGCTTGTCTGATCTAGATCAAATGCCTCAATTGTTCTGAGTATCATGAGTTCTGTGTCTAAGAGAACACAGTCCCCGATAGTTGAGGGACGGGTGAAAGCCACGATGGCTGTGGCTCTGGGGTACACTCATTGGGCATTGTTTACATTTGGAGGTATCTGATATTCTGGTTAGACGCCAGGCAGGGAACAAAGGCTCTGAAGACTCCCTGAAAAACAGCGGCCTGAGGGACACAGAGGGTGCTGGGAAGGGTGCAATAGGTACTTCTGCAGGTACCACGGAGCTCTGGACCCTGTAGGTTGTGTGAGTCCCTCACATGGTAGAACACCAGTCCAGAAACTTCCCGTAGGGAATGTTTCCCAGTTCTTTTCACCCAGCCTGGGATCACAGTATACATTCTCTCTTGTGCCTGCCCCTCTCTGTGATAGTCACAGCACAGTCCCTCTGTACCCCTAAGTCCACCTCCAGTGATGGGGAGTAATAGCCAGCATAAGGAGGGAGCTGGGGAGAGGTACCAACAGACCCCTCAGCTCATATGTTAAGTGCATTTGCTTCCTGGATGCGGGGCGGATGGAGAAGTCCCAACTGGGTGAAGGCAGGGAATACATGGGTAAAGAGCTGTCAGGTTCCTTCTCGTCATCCTAAATCTAAAAACCCACAAACAGGAATTCAAATGAGTGCAGCCTGGGGCTTGGTGTTTAGCTGACAGGAGGACATGGGAAGTTCAGGCATCAGGGAGCCTATCTGAACATGGAGAGAAGCAAGGAGACCCAACATCTATCACAGAGCCATAGAAGGGTCTCAAAGCTCTTCTGAATGACCAAGAGGCAAGACTAGGAAAAAGCCTTCTTAGAGCCTTTAGGTCATTAGCACAGATGACTTGAGAAATGTCAGGAAGAGTCCTGGGGCCACAGTGCCTAAAATTCCATTAACAAGGTCTGCCTTTGGGCTAAGCATCTCCCTAAAAATCAACACATGCCTTGAGAAGTAGGGAATGAAGTCATTAACTCAGGCTCTCCATAGGCTCAGGCAACAAAAGTTTCCCAGCTCCCCAGTTCAACCAGACCAATGCCAGGCTCTGAGGGTACCCCAGAGTGAGCTATAGCTCCTTTCTCTGCCATTGCTAGCCCAGTAGGCAAACAAGCAGTTGAGATGCTGATGCCATAGCCTGGCTCTGTTCTCTTCTGCAGCAGGCTGAGGCTAAAGCCCAGAGGGGACATGGTGCTGGTGGGGAGGTGGAAGGATTGGAATGTTGGGAGAAAAAAGGAGACAGGATAGAGCACTTGGGAGACCTGACCATCATCTTTGTTGTTTGAACTACCCCCCCCAAAAGTCTGCCAGGAACAGGCTGGTGAGGAGACTTGACTTGCAAATGTTAGGGAGGGCCTAAGGATGGCATCAGCTACCCTGCACCCCTGTGTGACTCTGGGCAAGTCACTTCTCTTTGATCCTTGATCAGTTCAGTGAAACCAAGAGGCTGCTGAGGTGGCTTTCGTGGACCTGCTGCAACAACCTTCCGCTTGCAGTTTTGGGGGCATCAGCTTCTTTTGGGGTTGTTTGGTCAGCCCAGATTTATCTAAGCCCTGTCAAGAGGGCTGGGGTCTCCCTGTCCATTTCCTAAGCATCTCCCCAGGTGACTTGGCTGAGGTGGGCTTGAGACCTGAGGTTCAGCATCCAGGAAAGTTTGTAGGGGACGAGGGGGAAGTAGATGCAGTCAAAGCTTTGAAATCCCAGGACTTCTTTGTAAGAATCCAAAGGAGTCCCCGGAGGGAATTCAGAACCTCCTACTGATGGATTAAATGAGATAATGCTACCGAGTGTGGAACATTTACACTGAGCTCAGTAAATATGCATCTTCCTTGCTTCAGTGCTTCCCTAGCTGAATGGCTGGGCAGGAGGAGGATCATCATAGGAATACGGCAAACCACCTTCCAGTGTCTTCCAGGAGGGGATGGGAGGGGAAGATTACAGAGCCCTTTCTGAGGTCTCTAGGTAATGTTTAATTCAAGACCAGTGTCAACACTGGATCACCTGTCTGGGGTAAAGGAGACTCTCGGTGGGTGAATCCCCAGGGTCTGTCAGGGTCTTGACGAAGATGGCCCTTCAGTCCCAGCCTGCCTCTGTTCTTAAGAGGTCATGCTCCCCGAGGGGGGAATCTCCCAGCATCCACCCTGTGGCAGACCGGCTTAATCAGGGTAGGATTTCAGGCGAGGATCAGGACAGCTGCCTATGAGAGGACTTTGGGGTGGGGAGGGATGCGGACAGGGAATCAGAGAAAAGCTGTCATTTTTGCTTCACCACAGGGCTACTGGGCAACGGCTTCAGCCAACCAGAGTTGGAAACCTCTGAACCTGTTGAAATAAGTCTTACCTACTTCTAAGTCGTTCATGACAGATGTTGTGTCACAGTCAAAGAGGACCAGACTCCCATTGTTCTGTCCGAGCACCCATTTCCTTCTTGCTGGGTCCATGTACCCCATCTACTCCCCTTGAATTTCCATGACCTTCCATCTTGTCTGTGCCTCTAGAATATCTTCCCTTTCCGGTGACATGGGGCTTGGGCTGCACCATAAGCCACCTCAGATGAGAAAGAGATGCTGGGAAGAATAGAAAAGGCCCAGCAGAGAAGGAAGGACATGAGCAGGAAGCAGAAAGAATCAGGGACGATGCAGGGGCTTGGAAAACAAATAACTAAGTGGTTAGGACGCCAGAAGCAGAGAACTTGACCGGGGCATGTACCACTTTAGGCCAAGTCAACTCATTTGATCCTTATGCCTATGTTGTAAGTAGGGGCTACTCACCTGTTTTACAGATAAGGAAAGAGACACAGCAACAGAGGGTTTAATGGCTCTCCCAGGTCCATATAGAACCAGGACAAGAACCCCAACAACAAAGTTCTACTCTCCCGATGCTGCCTCCCCAACATCCCTCATGTACTGGGATCTGGAGGCTGAACTTGGGGTTAGGCTCTCCTTGGGTTTCTGTCTCTCTTACCCCACCCACCCCTTTCATACTCCTTCTTAAACATGTTTGAGCCTGTCCCCTGTGTAATTGATCTGTCATTCATACTAGAATCAGTGGGGCATCAATATCAAATATTTATTTAAAATGTTTCTCTCATGTCACCATTTTCAGCTGTAGGCTGTTGAAGTCAGATGGTTTTCTGTCTCTTTGACAACACAGAGTGGATTTGATAACTTCTTCTCTGTTAATAAATAAATCAAGTTTCAGATTCTAGAATTATGAAGGATTGTAGCTCATTCTTCTTCAGGCTGAACAGTCTAGGCCATGGGGGCCAGCCTTCCCTAGGAATGAGGAGCTGGGGCCAGCCTCTGTCTGGAAGGACCCTTAGTTACTTCGCCATCAGAGGTCCCTTGAACGTTAGAGAGGGAGGGGGACAGGTATGTCACACTTATGCGGACAGGCGGTGGGTGCTTTTGAGTCTCAAGCTCATGTTATCAAGCTCTCCAAAGAAGGAGTTCCAGACCAGCTCAGTGTTCTCTAACCCTGTAAATTCCTGGTCCCTCTTCCTTAGGGACAGGACCCTTCACCTCACAGGTTGCCTTCCTGGATTGGCTACCACACTAGTGACTATCAGCCATTACCTTATGCTGTGTTCCCCAACTCAAGGAATACTCATCTGTCCTTATCACGTCAATGGTGTGGCCAGCCATTCCATCCTATACTTATAATCTTGTCTCTTATGTGGATAAGAAACTCAGCAGGAACCCTGCCTAAGCACGTGTTCTTCTGCCCAGATGCGGTTCCCAATTTCCTTCCTGGAGCTCCATCCATCTCTGTGTCTCTGAGGGCTGCAGCCCCCATCACAAACAAGACATCAGGTGAGTCAAATATGGCCCCTTTGTTATACCTTCTCCCACGGGAGGAGAGGGTCAATCCTTGCACTACCCCATCGTTGATACTTCCATCTTGACAGCACACCAGAGCCAGGAGTCAGGAGACAGGACAGCTTCCTGGTAGCTCCAAGGAGCAATATACACCCACTTATTTGAAGACATGAGATCCTTGATGCTCTGGTATTCATCTTTGGGCCTCAGTTGCCTGCTCTGGGGTAGCAGAAGAAGGTAGACTTACAGCTCAAGTATCTAAGACTACTGCTCCAGGGAAGCTGGACATTTTGGGGACATGACTCAGGGATGATCCTGACTCATCATTGACTGGACTTAATGCCTCTGCTGCAGGAAGACCTCCCACTATGCCCCACGAGCATCTCTAAGATCCCATGACCCACACCATCCTCCATCTGGCTCCTTCTCGTCTCTGTCTGGGCTCTATGACTTCCTTATGGATCCTCCTGTGACTTTTCCATGAAAGCTGCCATTGGTTCTTGGCCTCCCGCAGTGTCCCTCCTACCCTTCAGTGCACACCTCCATTGCCTCCAAGTTTCTGTGTGCACACCTCCATTGCCTCCAAGTTTCTGTGCCACTCTCTGGCTGCTCTTCACCCTCGTGTTCTGGCTGCTTCTGTCAGACAAGCAGGTCTAATCTGGGACAATCCCTGATGACCTCAGTCTTAGTGGAGCTGCTCCACTGCTGTATAACTGTCCCATTTCTGAAGCTCCAATCCATGGAACCACGCATGGGAGAGACAGTCTGCCTGGTGATTGTGGCTCCTGGCTCTCGAGTTCATTCTGGGCCCCACTGGGGTGGCCAATCCCTTCCTGCCAAAGGTATGTACACATCCTAGTAGCCTGCGGATCTTCCATGTTCTCCTTCAGGAAGGGAGGGAGAGGAGGAGAGAGGGGGGAGAGGAGAAAGAGAGAGAGGGGGCCAGAAAAAGAGAGAGAGCACGCCAGGGAGTGTACACTGTGCTGGAATCTGGTAGACAGGGGAAAATGATAAGGTTCATTTAGGAAGCAGTAAAGTGGAGATTTCAATTTCCTTTGAAAATCACAGCACAGTTATTCTTCCATGGTGCTTCTCAGGAACAGAGGGGGTCTGCTCTTGGACCCACTCGGGGGAAGCTAATGAGAGAGTGGGCAGGACAGGGGTGTCACACAAATATGAGGACGACTCTCTGGATGTCAGGATGGTTTGTGAAAAAGGGGGGGCTGGGGCAGCTGTCCACAGTGGCAGGTGTCAGGGACTTGTTTGCACACCTTCTGCATGTGCCCAAGCACAGGAGTGTGTGTGTGTGTGTGTGTGTGTGTGTGTGTGCGCGCGCACACAGTGAGGCTACACAGTCATGGACTAAGAGGTCTGTGCATATGTGTGTGTGTGTGTGTGTGTGTGTGTGTGTGTGCGCGCACAGTGAGGCTACACAGTCATGGACTAAGAGGTCTGTGCATATGTGTGTGTGTGTGTGTGTGTGTGTGTGTGCGCGCGCGCACAGTGAGGCTACACAGTCATGGACTAAGAGGTCTGCATATGGGGCTTTGTTAGCCCAGGACTGGCAGTGTTCTTTTTTTGGAATATTCTTTTTTTTTGTTTTGTTTTGTTTTTACGAGTCAGGGTTTCTCTGTATTGTTTTGGAGGCTGTCGGTCCAGCCCGGCCTCGAACTCACAGAGATCCGCCTGCCTCTGCCTCCCGAGTGCTGGGATTAAAGGCGTGTGCCACCACCGCCCCCGCTCCGGCTGGCAGTGTTCCATGCTGTCCGATTGGGGGTGGGCATGAACTTCATCTACCTCATGACCACCCCCTCCTCTGTACGTTCCTCTCCCTCTGTGTGTGTTAAAAGCAAACACAGAAACCGGAACTGGAAAAGCAAAGACAGTGTGCCAAGCAAACATCTGTCCAGGAGCGAATGAAGAGATCAGAGGCCCTGGGGTTGTTATATTAGAGGAGACAGATTCAGATATCAGAAAGCACTCTGGACTGGGAGGGAGAGCCTCTGCTGACGCGCAGAGCCAGTGAGGTGGGAATGAGGCTGACCACAAAGCCAGACAGCCTCGGGTTGAATTTTAGCCGTGTGACTTCGGGTAAGCCACTGGGCTCCTTCGGGTCTCCCTGAAATGGTAACAAACATTTGTCATGAGGCTTCATGAGATAATGTGAGAAACTGTGAAGAGGCCTGGCCGTTAGGTTGGAGAAATGGCTTTGGAGTAGTTGAGAGCTCTTTCTTTTAAAGTTTAGAATCATTTATTGTTAATATTGTATGTGTATATGAATATAGGCATGCATGCAACATCCAGTGTGTGGAGGTCAAGGGACAACTTTGTGGAGTTAGTTCTCTCCATCCACTTTTACGAGGTCACCAAGCGTATGTGGCAAAAGTCTTTACCATTGAGCTGTCTTTCCAGTCCCACCTGTGGGCTTCCTGGGAGAGTGTCTATGCCTTACACAGGGAGGCATTCCCTATACAGTCAACCAGCCTTTGCTGTTGTTGACTTCAGGTGCATTTTCAGCAAGATAACTGTGTGGTATGTAAGTTCTGTAAACCATATCTACTCAAGACGTCTCTCAGCATGAGTGACTCTGCCTTAGACCCTGTGATGCCCAAAAGTGTCTCACAGTCCAGAACTGAATTCTCCTCTTGTCTCTAGCTCATGGGGATAGGCTGTCAGAGCTGCTGCCTGGAGAAGGATCCTGCCAAGGACGAATCCCCATTGCCTCTGTACCACCCTGTAGGCCTAAGGAGGAGGGACAGGCTGCTGACTTCTGGCCCTTGGACTAGGTGAGACACCCCAGGTGGCACCTTCATTCTGAACAGCAGAAAAATATGCAGTCCTTTTGCATGCACAAAGGCTGTCCGCTGGTGTCAATAAGCTTAATGGCTTGTGCCATGACTGATAAGGAACTCAAACTCACTATAATCCATCTGTTGAGCAGGCAATGGTTGCAGAGTATCAGGTTCCAGGGGAAATCAGGATGCTGCTTGCTGGTGTCATGGACTTGGGGCGGGGAGTGGGAGAGTGGATTTCAGCAAGGTTTACCCTCAGTGTCTAGTCTGGGGCAGGCTGGAGATCCAAAGGGAGACCACAGGGGTGAAGAGGAGAACTGGAAGGAACTGTCTGGAAGTCAGGAGCACTGCTTCTTCCCTCTGTGGTGCTCCTGTGGGGCTTAGGACAGGCCATTAGCCTCCCTGTGGGGTTGGAGCATGCTTCTTCATGCCCTGGCCTTATGGCTCCACCTACAGCCCTTGGCATATTGCTCCCGGACACCCAAAACCCTGCGGCTAGACACCTGGAACGTTACTATAGATCATGGTTTTTGGCCACAGTTCCTGGCACATAACTTCCTTTCCAAGGTGACCTGTAGGAACTAGAACATCCCATGCTGAAGGTGGCACACAGAAACTTTGATCTTTCCTGTCTTTCAGTGCTGGAGTCAGCCACAAAGAAATTCCCCAGGGATTGGAGAGACCTTTGTGGGTAAGTGCACTTACTCTTACAGAGGACATGGGTAACATTCCCAGTACCCACATAGTAGCTCACAACTGTCCATAACTCTGTTTCTAGGGGACCAGATGTCCTCTTCTGATCTCTGTGCTCAACAGGCATTACTTGGTGTACTTGCAAGTAAAACACTCATATACATAAAATAAATAAAATTTAAAAAATGAAGTAGCTAAGATTCAAGGCAACCAACTGCTTAAAGAAAAAGAAAGAAAAAAGAAAACCCCCAATCTGCTCTTCTCCAGTAGGGGCTACACAGAGGGGTCACACAGTCTGCAGGCATTTATGCAGATACAAGATCTGTATAAATGCAAAAGAATAGGGTTTAGGGGAGCCCCTGGTTGGCTGGGTTCCTGGAAGGTGCTGAGTCTAGGGAGCAGAGCATGGAAGCTTACATCCATCCTCCACACTTCACCTTACTTGTCTCTTGCTATGTCCTCTGTAGTGTGAACCTCTAAGTCAGGTTCCCTGAGCCTTTCAAGCACTTTAACAAACAATGGAAACGGTGGAGGGGATTCTAGAACCCAGTTTTTTGGCAGGTCCGTCATAAGCACAGACAAAAACAACCTGAGGAAGGTTCAGGGGTATCTTGGGGAACTGAACCCCATCTGGGGAATCTGAGTAGACGCAAGGTAGGTATTATTAGAGCTGACTGGTATTCTGGGAACAACCCACCCTACACCCACTGGGTTGGCTTGGTGCAGAGGTCTTCTGTGTGGCCCGTTGTGTGACAGTCAAGGGAGAGATCAAACACTTTGTTTTCCTCTGTGGGGTCTACATAGTGAGTTATGATCCTTCATCTGCACCCATCACTTCTGGGAGGGGGTAAAATGCCCTTTTGTTTAAAAGTAGGAGGGAAAATAGCAAGCCATACATGATATTTGCCATTCATAGCTCTGAACAAGACCAGGCTAGGGCAGGGACTCCTGGAAATCTCAGTATTTTGGGGCTGCCTCTCCCTGCTAACTGCTGCTACCTGGCTGGCCACCTCAGGTGGTACTCATCCAATTTCCTCCTAGGGTCTGCTAAACACAGAAAAGGGCCATGGCCAGTGACAGTTTTAGTTTATGTCAGATAATAGAGTGTGGCAAGCTCCGGTTCTGTCTGTTCTATGACTAGGGACATTGGGAAGAGAGTCCCAAACCTGGTTCTGGGAGGCTTAAAGACGATTTCACAACACACAGTAATTGTACATCCTTCAGGGTGCAGGGTGACATGTCGGCTCATGTGTCATAATCAGGACGGGCAATTGACAGACCCATCACCTCAAACGTTTATTCGTTCTCTGTGATGGGAACATTCAGAATCCTCTCTGCTAACTGATTTGAAACATTCAATTAATTGCCGCCAGCCTTAGCTACTCCACTGGGCTACAGAACACCGGAAGTCACTCGCCTGTGCACCTGTGGCTGTTAACTCTTTTGTCCCAGCTCCATCTTTCCCTGGAGGATTTAATGCTCCCCCCCAACCCCCCACCCCCGACCCAGCCCTTGCTGGTTTTGCGTTCTTTGTGTGCTACACTCAGTTATCAAGTGAGCTAGTGTTCCCTGGCAAGCACTGGCCAGGCAGACTATGGGCCATGCTGGGGGAATGAAGGGACTCTCAGAATAGTATCCTCTGCGGAAGGAACAGGGGGCTGCATCCTCAAGTTAAATACCTGATATGGCTAATTGAGAGAGAATTCACCACATACAGCCAGTTAAGAATTCGTTTTAGATGCAGTTTGGTTTCTCAGGACGAAGTATTGTTAGCTGCCTCAGACTTCTTGGAGGAGTGAAAAGACACGTCTTTCCTCTTTCCAGAACGCCTGAGACGGAGAACAGCTCACTTGTTCCGTCACACAATAAATCTTACTTGCTGGGCATCCAAGTGCAGACTCCTGTTGTTTGGTTGCTACCCTCCACTCACCTGCATAACGCAGCCAGCGCCCAGTTTCTCTCTGAAAAAAAGCTCCTTTCTTTACTTGGTTACTTTTAGTGTGGACTCCGCCTCCAGATGGACACGTGATCAGGCCTGGCCAATGAGAGCACCGCATCTCCATAGCGCTATACAGATATTCCTTGACCTGGGATAAGTCATGATAAATTCACTGTTAGCTGAAGATACTGTAAGTAAAAAATGCATCCAGTGTACCTAACATCAAAAGGCCCTCCTTAGCAGCACAGCATACGGCAGCGCATTGGTGGTTTCTCCCGTCAGTCTTGGCTGCTTTGGCTCGCTGCCACAGGCCAGCATTGCTTTTTGTGAGACCAGGAACTAATCAGTGTCCAAGACTCAAAGTATGTTTTGTACCAAATGCGTATCATCGTCAGCACATTCACATTGTTGTGAGGTACAAAGATTGTCAGCCGAGCCATGGTGACTTGGGCAAGCTGCATTTCATTGAAGGATGGGTATGTGGCAAATTTGGATCACTGGGAGGGGATTCTGGGGGATTTCTGTTTTGTCATCACAGAAGAATGCTAATTGTAACCTGCTAGATATGAGGTTGTGTGTAAGCATCTTGAGATATGTGAATGGCTAAGCAGACAACTGTACTGGTGTTAACAGTGTTTCTAACCCCTCAAGATGCAGACGGCCAAGCTTTGCCCTACAGACTAAAAAATTTTTTTAACTTAAAATAAATAAATAAATAAATAAATAAATAAATAAAGCTCAATATCAGGTCACAAAATCATACCAATCCCTGAGCTTGCCCCAAGATCAGGCCACAAACCCCCACCAATCCCAGGCCACCCTGGAAATCTACACACACACACACACACACACACACACACACACACACACACACAAACCCCTACCTCTATGAAAAGCTTTCCCCTTTCTCACTGTGTCTTTCCTTAGCAGAGGCAGTCACTTTCTGTACGAGGTTTGTTGTTCAGTGTGACTTTGTGGTATTCCTTGGATCCCGACTGTCAGGATACCTTTTCCCTCAGAACTGTAATTTTACAATACGTATTTGGGATTGTGGGTAACTTCAGGGCACCTGGGCTGGAAGGGGGGACCAAAACATGGACGACAGCAGACCCCAGAGCTAGAGGTAAGTGATGATGAGGTGATCTCGCTTGAACTCCTGGATCCAGCTGAGCCTGGAGGCGGATTTTGGCACAAAGATCTCTGGTCTCTGGGCATATGCATTTCTTTCCTCTTAGGGGAAAGTCTGTTTCTTTTGAGGGAGCCGGGTATGAAATCCACAGTAGTGGCGATGTGTGTTGTGATGAATGGATGGTCTGTGATGATGGGTGGTAAATGGGTGATCCTTGGTGGTGAGTGGTGATTGGTGGTGATGGGTATTGAGGACCCACAGACTTTGGGATGAAAAGCTGGAGTCCTTCTTAAACAGAAGTGACCTTCTGTAAGTTTCTCATGGAAGTAGTAAGCACAAGTTGAAATAGGCTCACTCACAAACACATGACATTTACTTTAGGCTTTGCTTCGAGAATCACTTCATGCCTGTGACCTGCAGTCTATGACAGCTGTGGATCAGAGAGGAGGACGCCTGCAGGGGTGCAAAGCTGAGTGAAGGCACATTGCCTGGAAATACTTGGATTCCCCAGGGTCTCCCCAGGTCCCCACAGTGAGCTTCCTTCTTCAGGAAAAAGGATGCTCATGGGGTCAGAGAGCTTAGTCATCTCCTCCCATCATCTGGGTCATCATTCCAGGTATCTTTGGGTAGGTAGGGTGGAATGGAGTGATCTACTGCTTGGGAGTATGGCTGAGTACTAACCAGGATGTGAGCTTAAAAAGCCTATAGCTTACTGGGAGATGGGGTTTAGTATTAACCCCAGGAGCAGACAGAAGTAGACAGCATACCTTACTGGAGATCTGAGAGAATTCTGAGTATGGCTGAGTACTGACCAGGATGTGTGCTTAAAAAAGCCTACGGCTTACTGGGAGATGGGGTTTAGTATTAACCCAAGGAGCAGACAGAAGCAGACAACATACCTTACTGGAGATCTGAGAGAATTCTACAGGAAAAAAAGGCACATCTGATCCACCACCTACCCCAGACACTCATCTCATAAGGCTCACAGTGGCCCACGGGTCTCCACTACCGCGTAGAGGACTATTTCACACATTAACTTCAAAGACAGCAGACAAGGGAGGTCTCTTAGAAGTCACTGCAAGGAAAAAGACCCTTGCTGTCCACTAAATGCCTTTGGGAATGGTGTGTGCAGTGAACGGGGGTGGGGTGGGTGGTGGGGTGGGAGGTGGGTGGTGGTGGCAGTGCTCTCCTTTGTTGACACTACCCTGGCCTCTCTGCCACATCACAGGTGGTGGAGGGGGTACTAGCTGTATCATAGACATAAGTCATCCAACTCTAAGAGGTCACATCCCAAGCTGAGAAGTGGAGAGAGGACCGAGGTAGGAGAAGCTTGAGGTGGGGGAGGAAAAAAGGTACAGCATGAGGCCCAGAGTGGCAGCATTTAATTTATACCCCATCCTTAGCTTCACGGTTGGGTATCCAAGCAAGTTACTTCTCACCTTCCTGCCTGTTTCCTCTTTGTAAAAGGGATTAACCTTGTGGTGTATATGCACTCTGGATCATCTCTCTTTGGCTGTCCTCTTGCTATCACTTGGGTACCACAAGGAAGTAAGCACGGGGCAAAGAAGGGGTGATATCAAGCATGCCTGACCTTGTGTGGGTTCTAGGCTCACACCTAAACCCAGCCTGTGGCTCCCGGTCACTTAACAGAAAATACATGTGCTGTATACTGAAGGGAACTGAAAGGACCGTCCCCAGTCACGTTCAATCAGTACCTGCCAGCTGATATGCCTACTGCATGTGCTAACCACTGGATCTACAGCTTGGCTCTCAGAAGCCCTCCATCTGCTGGGAGAACGCATAGAGTTGTGCAGTGGAGAGAGAACTGAGGTAAGAGGAGTCTGAGGTGGAGGAGGCAGCGGGTATCCAGGATAATATGGCGGTATTGTTGGGGGAGGTAAGCTTCCTGGGTTATAGAACATCTTAGCCGAGTCCTGGACGAGCCTGAGACCAACTGCAGCAGGGAGAGAAAAATTAGCCAGTCCTGAAGGGATGGCTGGTCTCCCTCTCGCCAGGGATTTTAAGGATAAATGGTATAACTTTCTGAGGATGTAGAATACAGGGTCTATGCTTGGCTGGAAGACTAAACCAAATTGTTAAAGCAGGGAGTACAGCCCTAGACACCACCGGGGCTACTGTGCACCAGGGTTATTACTCTCTAAAACACTGTCACAACCTGATGGTTTCTCATCGCTTTGGCTGGGCACATGCTTTGTTTGGCTCATGCTGCATTTCAAAGTGCATTTGTCATTGTTGTTGTTTCTTTTATTGTTACTATAATCCAAAACTGAAAAGGCTCACATGAAAGTCTAAATTGGGGTCTTCTTAAAAAAAAAAAACACGCACACACAACTCAAGTCTACTAGTACTTGCCCTACATTCCCCCAGGCCAGCAGTGGACTGGCTCTGAAACCCAGTAGTCTCTGACACAGGACTCTCATGATTCTGAGCCCTCTCCAGGTCTCATCGTTTCTTCTGGTCCCACAGTGGCTCACCTCACCCAGGTCTTTACAACCCCTCACCAGACAGGAAGGAACAGTAGCTTGTGAGCCCTGCTCTACAGCAAGGACTCAACAGATCTGGATTAGGCTGTGAGGGCCTCTGGCTGGCAGCCTATCAAATGAGCCTGTGGGAGCCAGCGGCCCTTTCTGCTTCTTCTGAGCTGGGGGAGAGTGGTGTGCCTTGGGAGGAGAGGGCAGGTGCCAGGACTTAAGTTTGGGCACTAGGAGCAGGAGTAAGGATGAGGGCCTTTTCAGTTTATACCCCTCAAGGCTCCCAATTTAGCAAATGGAACTGTTCACAGAGCCCAGTCTAGGTAGCTGGAACTCTGAATGAGTTTGGGGACACATGTAGCTGGTAGAGACAAAAGTCCACTTCTCAACTTGTTTTCTCTTCATGATTTGCAATCTGTCATGTTTTGTCTTGCCAAAGTCAGTCTTGTCATGTAGCCCAGGCTGACCTTGAACTCACGAGAATCCTCACCACATCTCAGGTCCCAATTCTATAAATTATAGGCATGGGCAGCCATGCCCAGTATGGCCTATCCTTTTTTACTCATTTATTTGTTTTGTTTTGTTTTTGAAATAGGGTCTCACTATGCAGCTCTGCCTGTCCTGGAACTTACTATGTAGACCAGGCTGGCCTTGAACTCACAGGGATCAACCTGTCTCTGACTCCCAAATATAGCTCATCTTTTTAAGGGACTCCTTAGAAGTGTCATTCTTGTGTTTCTAGATTACCAGGAAAGAGTCCATTATAATGGCTTCTTTGTATGTACATGTGAGCATATGTGTATGTGTGTGTACATGTGAATACATGTAGGTGTGCATTGGAGACATGAATGAGTATAGTGTGTATACTCCTCTTTGAACATTTATTTGACACTTGTTCTTTCTGTTTTAGATGTGGGCTGGATTTAAGTGTTATTAAGGTAAAATCCCCTGCTTAAGTCTGTTTGTGATGATCTCACCCATGGCCTCTCCCCATCTTTGCCGAGGTGTAATTTATGGGCCTATTTGAAGCATGGAGAGCTCAGTGAGTTTTGATGAATGAAGCCCTCACAAAACCAGCGCCACAATCAAGATACCAACTTTCCCATCACCCCCGAGTGTTCCTGTTTCTCTTTCCTCCTCAATCTCCCCATAGCTCCCGGTCCCAGGCAATCACCCATCTGCCTTCTCGCCATGAGAGATTAGATTTCTCTTTTCTAGAGGCTCAGATAAATGGAATCATACAGTGCATACTCCTTTGTGTCTGTCTCCTTTCACTTTCTGTATTTTTAGGATCTATCCATTTTGTTGCATTTAATATCAGTCCTTTTTATTTTTCAGAACAATATTCCACTGGTTACATAGCTACAGTGGGGTTTGTTAATCCGTTCATCTGCTGAGGGTGTATGTTTGGGTTGTTTCCAGTTTGAGGTGTTAGAAATTAAGTAAGTACAAATATGTTTTTACTAGTCTTCATATAACTCACAGATTCCTTCTGTCCTTCCTTTGTTCCTTCTTTTTTTTGAAACAAGATCTTCAGCTCCTTCTAGAGTACTATGATTTTATTATCTATCTGTCTGTCTGTCTGTCTGTCTATCTATCTATCTATCTACAACGTTTCATTGTGTATCTCTGGCTGACCTGGAATTGGCTATGTAGACCAGGCTAACTGGAACTCATAGACATCCACCTGCCCCTGCCTCCTGAGTGCTGGGATTAATGGCATGCACCACTGTGTCTGCTCACGGTTTCCTTATCTATGGAATGCTATCCATTTACAGTCTGTAAATGTAACCGAACGTGAAGGCTGTGAAAAACTGAGGAACACCACCCCTCACCTGCCATATGGTGGCATGGATGGGGTGGAGAGATGCCTCTCACCCCCCACCTCCCACCGTCAAACCCATCCATAGCTAAGGTCGTTAAGAGCAGGAGAGCCGTTCCTGTCCCTCACCAGCTACAAAACTTGGGAGAGCAGGCCCTATACCTCACCTGGGCAGCACAGTAGAACTGAGCCTACTGATGGGGTGTGGATGAGCCAGCCCTGAGGGTGTGAAACAGGAAAACTGGCCCCACCCCCTGCTCATCACTGCAAGGGGTGAACTAGCCAGGGAAATGTGGGAAAACTCACTCTAGTGATGAGGACAAGGGAGAGCTGGCAAGCTGACCAACCCTGCAACAACCACAGCCCAGAACGAGGGTTATGGGTTGGCCCACCCCAGCATCTATCCACTCTGTCTATGGTCTGCTGCCCACCCCAGCATCTATCCACTCTGTCTATGGTCTGCTGCCCACCCCAGCATCTATCCACTCTGTCTATGGTCTGCTGCCCACCCCAGCATCTATCTACTCTGTCTATGGTCTGCTGCCCACCCCAGCATCTATCCACTCTGTCTATGGTCTGCTGCCCACCCCAGCATCTATCTACTCTGTCTATGGTCTGCTGCCCACCCCAGCATCTATCTACTCTGTCTATGGTCTGCTGGAGCACATGAAGGGGCCAGTCCTGCAGACCCAAGGCTGCATGATCCTCAGGACACAAGGCAACAACAGGATTTCCAAGAGGAGTCCTAGTGAGGGCCCAGCAGCAATAGTGTATCAGAGACGAGAGGCCTTGAATCAGACCAATGCCTCTTTGCAATGAACACAAGTCAAGATATACAGACAAAAGAGTTTACTGCATGACCCACTGTGTCACCCTATAGCTTCCACAACCAGAATGATCTTTCTCCCCTTTTTTCCTCTTAAATTTTATTTTATTTTACTTTGGGGGGGGGGATTGCAAGGGCAGGGGGCGGATACAAGGGGACAGGGAAATGAATGGGATTGAGAAATCATGATGTGAAAGACACAGGAATAAATACAAGGGAAGTTAAAAAATGAACTGGGCAGCAGTGAAAGAGTTTTGAATGTGCGACAACTGAAAATTAATTCAGAATCAGTGTGAGATGAATCTGAGGTGTTCTTGGCAGAGCTCGCCCGTCTTGTGTCCTATGACTTCACTGCGGCCTTGGTTCTAGACTCGCGATGTGCTCTTTGTACTGCCTAAGCCCCCAAGTCAAGGGGCCCCACAGAACACCGCCCGATGCCCCTCAGCAACTTGAGGTTACTGTATGCTGTGAATTGCAGTGTTTTCACTGAACATGCAAATCCTTCTGCTCGTTCAGAAATGAAGTGGCTTTACATGTCTTCCTACCTTTGTCCCTCAGCATGTGTCCAATCAGTACAACTTTGGATGGGACTGTATTTGGTTTTAAAAGCTGTTTAAGTTGCTGACATGAGTTTTTTTTTTTTTTTTTTGTTTTTGGGTTTTACGAGACAGGGTTTCTCTGTATTGTTTTGGAGGCTATCGGCTGACATGAGTTTTATAAAAAAGACAAACCACTAAGTGAACACTGGCTTGAGGTTAAGACAGAATTTCCAATAATTTCTGAAGGGCCCATAAATGTATTTCTGCCATGTTGTGTTTATACAGAGTAGGATTTTCACCATTAGCATTTATAAAATCAAAAATATCAGTTAACTCTTAAACAGTTTGAAGTGCTCCATATTTGGCAGCACTAAATAGTCAAAGTTTAATTCTTCTAAAAACCATTTATATAATTATTACTTGCATGTGCGTGCGCGTGTGTGTGGGTGTGTGCGTGCATGAATGTGCGTGCGTGTGTGTGTGTGCCCGCACGCCAGTGCCACAGTGCAAATAGGGAGTTCAGAGGACAACTTGTAGGAGTCTTCTTTGGTCTACCACACAGGTCTGTGGGGTGAGCACAGGCTCTATGCCCTCCCAACACTTACAATTTCATTCTTTTTAAACTGTAGCCACTCTAATGAGCGTGTAGTGGCATCTTATTGTGGTTTCAATTTGCATTTTCCCTGATGACTACCAACACCAAACATCTTTTCATGTACTTATGGACCATTTGTGTGTCTTTCAGAGCATAATAGCATGTTAATGCCAACTCTTTCAACCTCTAATCGAGGCAATAGAAGATTATGCAGATAATTAGTGCACAGTATAGTAAATCAGTTCTATGAAAAGAACTGATCAGCCATGGGGAGAGAGAGCTCACACTTGATCTCTGAGCTGTAGCTAGAATGCTGGGATTCTGTAATTTCCCCAAAACTAAATAGCTAGGGCAAGGGACAGGCAGGCTGTCCTGATTCTGTGATGGGGATGATATGGAGCGTGGCTGCTGCTCTGGTGGGCAACCCTGCTGGGCAGGTCACTGTGGGTGGAGCGCTGAGAGATAGAACAGCAGGTTACACCCGGAGAGAGCTTCACCTCCTTTGATTCGGTTTCCTTGTTCCGGGCATAAGGTGTGAGCCAGCCTGGTCTTCCCCAGTCTCGGAAGCTAGCTCTGCCCTTGGCTGCAGAGTCAATATAGGATGGGCTCTGATCCTGCCTCCTCACTGAGCTCGTAGCAAGCTCCTATCTGAGCTTGCTATGTCTCACACAGTGAGACGGGCTGCTCTAGTGGTGTGCACTCTGATGGCTGGCTTAAATTCCACAAGCTACAACTGTAGCTGTGTGTGAAGACACAATCCAGACATCACTCAGCAGCCAGCATCAGGCCTTTCCCTTGACCTGGATGAATGATTGACTTAAACTGGTTGAGTGCATCGACTGACCAGTGTGATCAGTTGGAAAACTGCTTTGATTGATTTTTTTTTCTCCTTGACTAGGACTGCTGTCTGCTGGCCCCGATCAAAATGAAATCTGGCTTTGCAAAGTCTCTGCTACGTAGAGTATCTTAGTGTCTGTGTCCACCTTGCTTATCTCTGATTGCAAGGGCTCACAGATTTGGCACATGCATCAAAGTGCTAGAGTTTTCTGTGCCACCAGCAGGCTGTGTTATCAGCATGATACAATGGAGGAGCTATTGGTTCTGGAATGCACTAGAATCTGGGCTTAGTCAAAGCTGTGTTACTTATAGTCACTAAGACCTTGAACGAATCACTCAAGATCGTGGTCCTCTTCTCTAACAGGAGCAGGGAGAGTTACCTCCAGTGTTCTGAGGATTAGTGCTGACAATGGACCTGATGTTCAGGTCTACTTATCGTTTTCTAGGGCTGTGGGCTTCAAGTCTCTACCTGTAAAAGCTGAGTGGGAGAGACTGCTTGTATGCACCTGTAACGTACATTATATTGGTAAATGGCGTGTTTTTTAAGCTTGTTGAAAGTGATCTCTGGAGTTGAGGAGGCACCTCCTGTCTCAGACTCAGGATGTTTATTTCAAGTGTTCTCTAAAATGTCTTCCTTGGGCAAGCTGGCTCCCTAGCTCTGTGCCAAGGAGAAGGAAAATAACAATCCGCTAAGGGTATTGAAAACATTGTGCCCTTGAGAACAGCGAGGAGGCAAACTATTTCCAGCAGAGGTTACTAGCATGTATCTCATGATAAAAACACCTGCAGTAGGAACTGGAAGTCAGAATTTCAGCCATAGGAAACTTAGTGGAGACAGAGGCCAGAGAGGACCCTCTCCCTGGGACTCTGTCAACCAGGAACCCCGCTGGTTGTCTCCGCTTCCTCGGGTTCTGTGGGCCGTTCACAAGCTCCTGGTTTGATGATGTTTTCTACTTATGCGCTGTTTCTTGATATCTCTATCACTGCTTATTCTTTTACTTTTGTTTGCTATAGACTTAATGAACTTACTCATTCAAAGCAAAACACCTGGCTCCTGGAGATCATCGTCTAGACCACACAGAACACTGCCTCTGGTGCCTGGCTAGGGAATAGAGAGGTTCTTCTATTTAGATCACAAAGGAACCTTTCCTCTCAGCATATTAAGCAAAGTCTGAAGACAAAAGGCAACAGTATGCTGTGTGACAAACAAAACGTAACAAAACAAACCCAAAAATTTCAAACTCTATAAATAAGGGGACCTCTGAACCTTAATGACAGCCAACTTGACGGCCCTGGGCTAACCTACCTCATCCTTTACACCACATCCCTATTCAATGGGTCCATACACTTAAACAAGTGCTCTACAGAGTCCAAGCCAAGTCTTCAGTTCAGTGGCTTTCTCTTTCACAGACTTAGAGGCTGTACCCCACGGTGCCTCAGTTTCCCTTTAATCTCAGGAGTTCTACGGTAGAACAAAGGTGTGGTTATCCTCTCAAATGCCCTCCAAAGTCTTCCAGTGGGAGCTGACAGAATGAGTAGCAAGAATTATTATTAATTAGTGAAAATATGTATAATCGCATAATTGGAGTGTATAATTGATGCTTCACTGCTGCAGGCAGAAATGAGGGCTGTAGAGATGAAAGCACAGGAAAAGGAGGTAGCCATGGGTCCCAGTGACTGGAAAAGTGGGAGAAACGTGGAGGGGTTGGCACTGTAGGCTCCCCCGCAATGCATGTGTTGAATAAAGGTCATGAGCTGAGAACCAAGCAACACAAAGAAGTATAGGACGAGCTCTTAGCGCGCGCGCGCGCGCGCGCGCACACACACACACACACACACACACACACACACACACGCTGCTCCTAGGAAATCTTTGGATGCCCACAGTTTGAAGCTTGTTTACAGCAGCACCATATTCTCATGAAAGGGCTCGGCTGATCTCCACCATCTGGGAGAAGAGATGGTTACCAGCCTTGCCTTCTTGGCCTGTCCTCTTGTATTTGGTCTTTGAGTCATCAGTATGCTGTCAACATCCAAGGAGAGCTCCCTGTCCTGCATGATACCCAAGTGAGTTTTGATATCTGGGGTCTATTTGTTTCAGGGTTCATTTGCTGGAGGAGAAGCAAACATAGAAATTGGAAAGCTTCCTCGATACATGCACTGAGATTGTCTTTCGCTTGAAAGAAGCAGGTGTTGCTGTGGAAGTGAGTGTGGGTAGTCTTGGGAGGGGCATATCATCAGGAAACTATCAAGAATAATGGCCAGTGATATGGCTCAGTGTAAAGGCATATTCATACATACATACACACACACACACACACACACACACACACGCGTGCGCACGCATGCACACGCACAGAATAGATGACAGATAGAGGATAGATAGGTAGGTAGATAGACAGACAGATGTAATATATTTAAAACAAAACGAAAACCCACTAGTAACAACCGTGTCATATTGTGTCAGGTATGTTGAGTTAGCTCACGGTGTCACCCATCTCTTGAGAATGCGCCTGCAGTAATTGTCCCCGCTTCACAGTAAAGTGAGTAAAAACAGGGAGAAGAAGCCAATAGCCCAAGGTTGCCCAGCTGCCTAGTAATGGAGCCAGGACTCCAGCACAGGTCCTACTCCAAAGCCATCTCTGGAACACCACCTGCTCTGTTCCCCTGGCACCTGAAACGATCAGAGCTGCTGCCACCACTGCCACCACCCTGCCAGCACCACCTTCACCGTCAGCACCTTCTCCCCCATTACTTCCACTCCATCCTTTTTCTGTACAAGCTCCGGTCAACCCCACAGGTCCGTTGGCAGGATCAAATGAGCGGACACTTAGCAATAAGTAGGTAGAACAATGGCTGGCCTTTGGAGGCATGTAACCCTTATGAGGTGTCGTATGTGTTTCTTCTTGTGTACTGTTACTGTCTCTCTGTGTTAGATACAGTGCTGGGTGCTTCTGGATTAAAGAGATGAGTCCCTCCCAGATTCTCCGGGACTCGCCATTAGAAATAAAAGGCAGAAGCTGCCGCCCACAAGGGCTCACACAGGAAAGGCAGCCCAAGTCTAGAATGAGGACCTAGCCTGCTTGGGTTGAAGATGGAAGGCTTCCTGAATGAGTTGAGATGTGACCTAAGGCTGAGGAGGGGCCTGAGATTTTTTTTAAAGTTCAAGATGGAATGCACGAGAGCAAAGCATTCAGGTGGGAATAGTAACCAGGATACCAATGTCTTCCCCCAAGAACAGGGGATAGAGGAAGGTCTGCTTTGTGTCTGCTGCATCTTCAATGCCAAGACAGGGCTAGCTTTAGAGTAGAGTGTCAGCACAGGTGGGTTAAAAGAATGCATGAGAAAAGAGATCATGGACGGATGTTGGGGATGTCTGGGTGAGGTCTACAGATCAACTGGCCAGTAGGAAGTAGGTGGTAAGGGAGAGCACACCGAGGCAGGGTTTACATGGAACGTAAAGACCAAGTCAGGTTTTCATAGGCGGGGAGAGATGATGGAGCACGAGGCTTTGAATATATGCCCGGAGAACAAGTGGAAAAGCTCACCTTGTGCCAACCTGGCATTGTTTCTCACCCTTGACACCTGGAACAGATGAGGGGAAACAGGAGCAGAAGCCTTCCCTGGAGAAGCGTGGCTCCGGGGCAGCCTGTGTGAAGAAAGCAGACACGGCACACAGACACCTGGTTCTATCACCCCGAGTCCCATTAGCGCACAAGTCACCATCATAACCCGCAGAGCATGACACTCATCTGCTTGGCTTAATGCGGCATCTTCACAGTTGCCAAAGGCAGTCTCTGCCGACTCCAAGGCACTGCTTGGCAACTGCTCAGTGGATTCCGTGTTCCCGCTTTCCTGCAGCTGTTTAGGGACAGTTCTATGTGTCCCACATCCAGTGTGAGTACTGAACTGCTCGTGTGCAGATGCCGTGCTCTGGCTAGACCTTTGCTCGGGAGTGGGGTGGGGATTCTGCATTGCCTTTTCCTGGGGTGATATTAAGAAAATAAAGTCTCTTCCTCCCAGATAGGGACCAATGACGAGCCAGAAAAAACATGCTACTCAGGCTTACAAGCCAACACATTTATTGGGCTTACTTACAGAGTGTGAGTAAGAGGTCATAGGAACGTGACCCCCGAACAACCACAGCACCAAAAAATCTCACCCCAGCATGACTTCTCCAGGGCTGTAATAAATGGAGCCTCCCTTTCAGCTAATCTTTCATACTGTGAATACCCTATCACCTAAGACCCCGGACCCAAGTGCAGACAACTGGAGGGAGGTATAAGGAGTGGCAGGAGTCTCGGGTAAGAGTCTGATTCCCTCCTATTCCCTCCTATGACAGGACATCGATAGGCTGGATCTGGAGGGTGTCTTGTTGGCAGTCACAGCTGCTCGGGTGAAGATGGCAGTGACTGTTAGGTTGGGAGGGCAGTGTTCTACAACAGGAGGTATCTGCTCCCTGTGCATTGAAGTCAGTGATACTGAACCACTGGCTTGGGAGGATGAGAGAATTTCTTTGGGTTCAAGGTAAAGCTTTCAGCTTCAGGGTAGGTAGACAGAGAGTGGGTTAGCCTGGAGCGGAGCAATCTATTGGCCTATCTCAGAAACACATATGGAGGATTAAATGTTGGGGTGCGGAATGATAACAGTGGAAAACATGACATCCTCCTGTTATTCCCTGATGAGACCATCTCAGGCAGTTGTATGGGGGCAGGAGAAAGAAAATTCTTAGATGCTGACAGATCTGAGTTCAGTCTCTGTTACTTGTAAGTTGACTGATTTCTGGAAAATTCCTTTAACAAAGCAGTTTTCTGTTAATTGCCCCCCCTCAGGACATTCAATAATATCTGGATACCTTTTTGTTGTTGCTTCTGTTGCTAAAATCATCAGGAGGGAAAAAGCTTTCTGCTACATAAGGTCCCAGAGCCCAGAGCTGCTACTGGACTTTCCATATGGGATAGCTAGGACAGTGCTGGCCTCCCCCAGATGAAAGAGTGACAGTCCTCAATGTCACGAGGGATGGGGAATCTTTCAGTCCTACCGAGACTGCCTTGCCATCTCTCCAGTGGGGTAAGAAGTAGCCAGGAGCAAAGGCATGTGTGGGGTAGATTAGTCCCTGCACACAGTAGGTCCACAGTGAAGTTCTCTCTGTTTCTCCCACAAGTCCCTTCTCTGTTCTGGGTGTGGAGAATCTGGAGAGAATTCAGAAGTGTTGTCAAGCTAATTACAGGGCAGGGAGTTACAATTCTGAAGCACACGAAAAGACCTGAGGTGATTTAGCCTGAAGAATAAAGGTGGCTCAAAGGTGATTTAATAATGGTGTTAAAGCCTTGGAAGGACTATGATCTCAGGGAAGTCAACCCATCTCTTTCCATCTCCACTGGGGAATGAAAATGAACTCCCACAAGGGCGGAATGTGGCTAGAAATGGAACAGAAGTGTCTATGAAGACTACTAGGAGAGAAGGCCTTCTGCAGTGTCAGAAAACTAAGGACAGTTTCATATCTGATCTCAGGATGAACATTATTTATTATGACATCCGTGTGTTGGAGGAGCTGTGGGTATGGAGGCCCGCATGGCCTCTGTCTTATAGCACTTACAGATTAGTTGGGGGGGGGCATATGAGGAGTGAGGCTAATACTACAGGCGAGCCTTAGGAGAAGGCTCCCCAGACGTCAACTATCAGGGGTGCCAGGGAGGATGGGCAGTGTTTGAAGTGGGTTTAGTGGCTCCATCAGCAGCTGGAAGATAAACAACAGAGTCATGAGAAGATGGGAAGGTGGGTGGGCCTGGGATGGGGGGTGTGGAGGGGGAGGAGTGGCAGGGTGTGCTCTGGAGTCTGGAATCAATCAGGGCCCTGGGAACAGAATAGCAGGTGGGGTTTGGTCCTTGGCTCATGTAGGTAGAGGTGTATCTGGGAAGATGAAGTAGCTGCAGGCGATATGGAGACCGTGGCGGGGGGGGGGTCAGCTGAGGACTATGGCTTGAGGACTCAGGTCAAAGCTGAGTTAATGAGATCGGTGGCACCTGGGGGAGGTGCCAGATCCTCCCTAAATCTCACTTCCTGGGTGTGCCTCTGGTCTCTCACAGACAAGACAGGTTGGCTCCAAGCTGGGCCACCTGCTGACCTCATCCCTGGAAGCCATCCCAGGCTGGATCCTTTCCTCCCCACTTTGGAAAGCTGGCACGTGGCTGGGTGGCCTGGCTGCCACTGGCTCCGCTGCTGCTCTTGGGAGGGCAGAGGCTCCCCTCAGCCTGGTCCAGGCCCCTGTTCTCCCTAGTTGCCATCCTTCGGTATCCTGTTGTTCCCTGGGTGGTCCCTGGACCAGCTGGCCTGTCCTCTTGGTAATGATGCAGGTAGGAATGTGTATGTGGGTGCTGGGGAGGGTTCCAGGCTCGCAGAACCATCTGGGCCTCAGAGGGCTGCTGGCAAAGACCTCCATCCTTGCCCACCATGCGGCCGCTATCAGTGAATATGTGCAGGACATCTAGGTCGTACCAGGTCACTCCCAGGGCCACTCCTGCCACCTGGGGCAACTGGCTAAACACACACCCTCAGGGGTGGTTTCTGCTGCCTGGAGTCCCTTCTGAGAAGCAGTATCATCAGTGCAACTTGGCAGCTTGTCTGCCCAGGGCAGGATGGTCTTACAGTCTTTATCAAAGCTGAGGTATGAGATGGGGTGGGGGGTTTGCAATAATAGACCTAGGGATCAGGGCAGATCCGAGGGATTCCGCAAGGTGCACCTTCCCTGCCAGGTGATGCCTGGGAACTAACTAGAAAAGCTTGATAGAAACAGCTTGCAGCCCTGGTCCCAGTGGTCCAGCTGAAGTGGGGGCAGGGCTTGTGATGCAAAGAACACAGCTTGCCCCTTTCCTGTCCGGAGTGGTGAGCTCCTGTCCCTGCAGAGTGCTACCCATGTCCCCTTGTCTAGCGGACATGGCAGCAGTACTGTTTGTTGGGGCCATCAGATGTCATAGTGAGCAGGACTCATATCAGGAAGATGTGGGTTCTGGGACCATCCACACGGCACAGGCTTGGTTCCTTCCTGCTTATAAATGAGGGTGTCACTTCCCATTCTGTTGGATTACCACGAGGACAAATGAAATATCAGAGTGCCTCTACCTGGTTGGTCCTCAATAATTAATATTCTTTCCTTTTTTGTCCCCGAGGATCAGTACTGGGACGAGCCAGCTGGTCTGTTTAAAGCATGTTCCTGAGGCGTGTATCTCAGCGGCTCACCACAGGAGCTCAAGAGAATGGCCCCTCCTTAAATTTTGCACACTGAGGCCTCTCTGGATTACCTTGGTCCCAGGCCTGCTCTGCCCATGAGCGATTTGTAAACTCCAGCACAGATTTGAAGGTTAAATAACACTTTGGAGGATCCTTTGTGTGTGTGTGGGGGGGGGCGGGTGTCTTGGAATCTACCAGGTGAGTAGACAGATATCCCTGTGCAGTATAGAAATCAGAGGGGGAGATAAACCCACAATGACAAGGACCAGGGGGGACATCTGACTCAAAAATTGGAGGGACCAGCTGAGATGGAGGGCCTCATAGCAAAAGTTAATCAGCAACACAAACATCCCTGTGATGGGATCCCTGCCCAGGTTCTCTTCTAGTTCCATCACCAGGAGGACAATTTAGCTCTCTCCACCCTGCAACCCTGTGGCTATGCCTGCAGCATGCCAACCACCTGAGCTGAGTGAAAAGCTCACCAGATCCTTCCGAAGATCAGAGGCTGGCACGGCAGAGGCAGGTACTGGCCAGGGTCAGCTAGACCCAGAGGGGGATCTGGAAACATGCCTGGCTTAGGCTGTGAGTCCCACAGCTGCCTTACTGCGAGCCCACTGGCTCCTTGCTCCTGGGAAGCGAAGACACCGCAGTCTGCGTCATGCCACTCCCCAGTTGTTTTGAAAGGAAGCTTCCTTAATGAAGGAGAATTGCAGAGTAGCAGCAGCAACACTGGGAAATCACGCCTAGCCTCCCTTGCAGTTGTCACTCTGCTCACCCCCTTTCTCTTTGCTCAAGGCACACATGACGAGACCTTCCACACAGCTTGAGCTCAAGAAACTCTGTGAGCGTGTTTGTCACTGAGCCACTTTCAGCCTTCCATAGGTTCCATCTGTCTGTAAGGCCCTTCCTCAGCAGCAGCTGGCGAGGGGCTAACAGTGATGGGCTTGTTCCTAGGCTTCCAGCTGAGCAGGGCTCCCACAGCAGCTCCAAGCGCTCTTCCTTCAATGCAGACAGCACTGGAGAGATCCTGAGGCACATGTGGGGCCTTCTATGATGTTTTCACAATGTGGTGCCCACCCCAGAAAGTTCTCTCCCTCTTCACCGCCATCCATACCCCACAGCCCACCACCATCTCTGGTTATAGCTTTATAAAAGCTCCAGTTAACTCTAGTAGAAACATCTGGACTAACCATAGTTGATGAACATGGGCAGGGCTACCAAGGGATGGGATGTTTAAGGAGATAAGGGATGGGACCCTCTCCAGACTTTCTGATGCCATGATTAGATAGCAATTGCTGGAGGTTTGATGTCACTTGCTGTTTAAGCCTTGCCCTTCCATGGTAATGCCAGAATCTGTGGAGATGAAAAGGCTTTAAAGGCCATCTGGACCACTCTCACTTTCCTCCCATGCCCCGCTGTCTTCTCTGCCTATTCTGAGATGAAATTTCTGAAACATGGTCCTTGCAATGATCAGTGTTAATTGTCAACTTGACCAAATCTAAAAATCACCTGGTAGGCTGGCCTCTGGGCATATCTGTGGGGCATTATCTAGAACATGTTAATTGAGGTGGGCAGACCTGCAGGCCATTGGGGATGTCACTCCCTGGCTGGGAGCCTGGACTTTGTAAGTGGAGAAAGGAAACTGAGAAACTGCATTCATCACCCTTCTTGACTGCGGATGCCAGATGACCAGCTGCTTCAAGCCCGCACTCCCCTGATCCCCCAGCTATGATGGACTGTGCCCTTGAACTGTGAGCTCAATTAAACTTTTCCCAATAAGTTGTTTTTGTCCAGGTTTTGTTCTTTTCATAGCAACAGGAAAAGAAATGGAGATCATCTTTATTCCAGTTGTGGTCTTCTTGTAAGGGGATTCTCAGTGTGTTGCAAGGCTGAGGGCTGTCTGCATTGGTCCTCAGATTTCCTCTGGGACAGAGCTCTGCACGTTGGCTTAATTTTTATGGGCTCATGCTTTGTGCCAGGTGAAGCATGAAGTGAAATCTTTTCCTGTTGGAATATTACTTTAACTATGCAAAGGTGTGTTACATTTGCTTATGCTGCATTTGTTTAATGATGTAAAGATATGTTGCTTTGCCTGCCTAAGGTACCTGATTGATCTAATAAAAAGCAGAACAGCCAATAGCTAGGCAGTAGATGGATAGGCAGGGAGGGTGGGCAGAGAGAATAAATAGGAGGAGGACTCTAGGCTTGAGAGAGGGAACAAGTGAGAAGAGAGAGAAAGGGAGAGAGGGAGGGAAGGAGGGAGGGAGGGAGGGAGAGAGACAGAGAGGCAGAGAGAGACAGAGAGAGAGAGGGAGAGAGAGGGGGAGAGAGAGACAGAGAGAGAGAGAGAGAGAGAGAGAGAGAGAGAGAGAGAGAGAGAGAGAGAGAGAGATGCCTGAGGCCAGCCAGGAATCTGCCCATCAGCCAGTCAGGGAGCAGGATGTACAGAATGAAAGAAAGGTAAAAATCCCTGAGGCAAAATGTGGATGAAGAGAAACAGGTTAAATTAAGTTGTAAGAGCCAGCAAGAAAGGAGCCTAAGCTAAGGCAGAGTATTCATAACAAATAATAAGTCTTCCTGTCATGATTTGGGAGCTGGTTGGTAACCCGAAAGAAAGCCTGCTACATCATCCCTCTTCTACCATAGCCTGGATTATGCCGGAAGGTGGCTGGCATGTACACGGATGCATCTCTCTTCCCGAAGGATAGGTAGGCCTAGTTCCTTCATGTACAGATTTGGAAGTGCCTTGGGTTGAATGTGAACTTTTGGGACCCACTTCATGTCAAACTTCTTCCTTGAGAATTGGACAGGAAACATGAACATCTCAGGGTCCAGCATGCTGGTTTATGAAGGTGATCATTTATCCTGAAAACCCTGTCTAGTAGGTAAAATTCAGACTTCTAGTAGTCAGTAGACTGGCAGATCACTGACTGCACAAAGCCCCGAACTTAGGGAAAGGCTAAGGGAGAAGACAGCTCAGCTAGTTCCCTTGGCACTCCAAGAAATGTAAAGAAGACTCAGTGACTGAGGAGACAAGGAAGCCAGAGAAAATGGTAGTACTACACCCAAGCAGTGGGCAGATGCTTCTAGGAGAAGGTGGGTCAGTGGACAGGATAAAACTAAGAGGAAGGAGGTGGAGGGAACAAGGCAGAATGATGATCAAGCAGAAATCAAATAGTGAATCATGTGATGGTGGTGGTGGTGGTGGTGGTGGTGTGGTGGTGGTGGTGGTGTGTGTGTGTGTGTGTGTGTGTGTGTGTGTAAAACAGGAAGTTGGAGAGGTTAGAGATTCAGCATAGGATCCCAATGCTTGGCATAGCTGCTCCTCTTGTCTTTCAAATAAAGACAAGGCTGAATCCTTAGGGGACTCTCAATGGATAGAGAGCCATTGTGGTAGAACTTCAGGAGACCAATGCCTGCAGGACAGACATCTTGTTTAGTGTGCATAGGTATGTCTGGCCACCAGCACCTTCACTGAAGTCAAGGTAGGAGGTGTTATTAAGGGTGGCCAGGCAGTCCTTTGCCTCATCAAGAAACTGCCCTTTGCCCTTGTCTACTGAGACCAGTGGTCTGCATCTTGACTTTACAATTCCAGTTGGGTCTCAGTTCAGCCTCCATGGCCCGAGGCAGCAGCAGCAGCACTCTGGACCTGCCCTTTCTCCCTGACAATGTGGTTCGGAATGACAGAAGCTCTGGGTCTCTCTGGACTAACCCTTCAGGGACACATCTCCCTGCTCCAGAGCCTTCCAATTCTTTTCCTTCACCTCTGGGCCAGGTTTCCAATTTGTCGGTATTTTCCATTTCATTTCCTTCACACTCACCTTTTCTCCCCAGAGAATCATCTGGGATTTTAGTTTTCTCTGTTGGAATGAGCATTGTCTCTGTATCTCAACCATCCTTTTCTCCTGCCCCACAACATTGTTAAATCGACTACCTCTTGCTCCTGGCTGTGTCTCTAGGCTGGGGAGGAAAGGCTGGTACCCAAGGGCTCTGCTCCAACGGGTTGGCTCAGTGCTGCTATCATCAGAAAAACAGGGTACTTCTGTGTATGGGATGGGAGCTTGGAGAAGCCTTCACATCATCCCTGGTGGTCTGCCCAGTATCCTGGCAACCCACAAGCTATGATATTCCCACAAATCCCTGGCTGGTGGAGACCCCAGCCTCTATCCTATTGCCTCAGGCTGGACTGGCTCACAGCCAGTCTGCACAGATTGAGGAGGGGTGGTGGTGTGGAAGAAGTCAGCTCCCTGAAGAAATACAGAGAGAGAGAAGTCCTAGCATCTATCTTCCGTCTTCTCCAGTTCTGGAATGTTCTCTGGGGGAATGAATTGGTCTGGCTTAAATCTTTTCCCCTGTCATTTTAGATGAACTTATCTTAGAAAAAAGAGATCTGGGTGATCTGGATGTGTTCTCTTGGGCCACTGAGTCTGACTGATCACCTGAAGGTATTCCTATGTGTTTCATTATTGTATCCATCTGACTCAGGAATTTGGTTCAGGTCTTACAGTCATTTTCATCTCTCTCTCTCTCTCTCTCTCTCTCTCTCTCTCTCTCTCTCTCTCTCTCTCTCTCTCTCCCTCCCTCCTCTGTCTCTGTGAGTGTGAGTATGTGTGTGTGTTTTTATGGGTAAGTTCAGATGCACATGTACAAATGGAAACCAGAGATTGATGTCAGATTTTCTTCAGTCTTCATCTTATTTATTTATTTATTTATTTATTTATTTATTTATTTCTTGAGACAAGTCCTCTCCTTGGCCTACAGCTCTCAGATTTGCTTAGACTGGCTGACCAGCAAGCCCGAAGGATCTGCCTGTCTTCCCCTCCACAGTGTTGGGATTACAGGTGTGTGCTTGCATCCAGCGTTTTTACGTGGGTTCTGGGGAATCACATTCAGGTGTTCATGTTTGTATCAGCTGACTGAGCTGTTTCCCCAGCTCCTGCTTGTTCATCTCACACAATCCCCAGGAGTAATGCAACGACAACAGTATCTCAGAGAGAGCAGAGCACTGGGGACTGTTTCCCGGGTGATGAGACCATGATATCAACTGAAGATTCTGATCTGGGCTCTATTGCCAGAGAGATTTCAGAGCAAGGGAAGGTGCTGGTCTGCGTATTCTCCCATTCACTGAATTATTCATTTGAAAATGCTTTCTGACTTTCTAGCCTCAGTCAGTCATTGTGCAGAGCACAGGGAAAACTGGAGTGATGAAAGCATGGGGCTCATTCCCAAAACACTTGAGTCTGGATAGAGAAGTACCTACAGGCGCGTTTTGCAATGCTACATGATAACCCATATGTGACAAAGAACAGTGACCATGCCTGGGGCTTCAGTGAAGGCATCAGACAGAGATGACATTGTAACCAGGCCTCTGGAGGAGTTCTACAGCTGTCGAGGAGGGAAAGTTGGGGGACAGGGTGAGGCTTGAGAGATGACTCAGTGATTAAGATCACTTGCTGCTCATCCAGAGGGTCTGCATTCAGGTTCCCAACACCCATGTCTGACAGCTCACAACCACCTGTAATTCCACTTCCAGGGGATTCAGGGATCTGACACTCTCTTCTGGCCTTTTTGGACGCGTGCACATGCATGCATGCACACACACACACACACACATACACACACACACACACACACACACACACAATTTAATTAGGGAGGAGGAAGAATAGTGTGAATAATGGGTTCAGGACATATTATCCCCCAAATATGGTGCCTTCACATATTGAGTATCATCTGCTGAAGGAGTATGAGAAGTTGACAGAAGCAGAAAAATAAGTCACTCTGTCCTTCCCCTGTTGTTCCTCCCCAAAGAAGGCAATATAACAACATGTGAGAGGTGCCCCTCCTATACCTACAAGGAAAGATGCACCCACTTCCTCATGATGAAGAAACACAGGATTTGGGATGGGCAAGCCTTGCAGAGCTCCCCCAGCTCACCATGCTCATCTTAGACTCTGCCCTGTCCTGTTTCTCCATGGCTGTGCGCTTGTCAACAGCCCTGCTGAGATGCACAGCTGGATTAACTAATTTGCTAGGCTTTTATTTTCTTTCAGAAATATCTATGTCAGATATATCACAGGTTATAGATTAAGTCTATATATTCTTTTTTTTTCTGCTGATCTGTGTTCTGTTATAATGTAAGCCAGCCAGTTTCCTCTGATATTATAGCATGGACTAGCTTGTCTGTTTGATGTTTTAATATGAACAACCAGTCCACTGGATGTCAGAGTATGGACCAGCTGCTCATTTTGATGTGGTGTATACTACCCTGTTCATGACAGTCACTTTCCATGGGGTTTGTCTCTATGCACCAAATGACAGAATATGAAGTTATAAAATGCATCATCAGTTATTTCAATCAAGTGATATGTGTGATTAGTGTGGCCAACTGTGATGGTGAGTCTTTTGCCAACTTGACACAAACTGGAGTCATCTGAAAAGAGGGAACTTCAGCTGAGAAAATGCCTCCATCAGATTGGCCTGTAGCCAAGTATGTGGGGCTTTTCTTGATTAGTGATTGATGTGGGAAGGCCTAGCACACTGTGGGTAGATGGTGCTGTATTTTTTTTAATAAGCTGAGTGATCCATAAGGAGCAAGCCTTAAGCAGCACTCCTCCATGGCCTCTGGGTCCTGCCCTGCTTGACTTCCTAGCTTAGCTCCCCTCAATGACAGACTGAAGTAGGGTCATGCAAGTCAAATAAACCTTTCCCTTCCCAAGTCACTTTTGGTCATGGTCTTTACACAGGGACAGGAAACCCAGCTAATAAATCAACTATGAGTGCTGGGGCACTTTCCATGTGGTACTGAATGCTGTTCATAAAGGTCAGGGACATCCAACCACCTAGAGAACTCAACAGGTATGACTCTGGAGCCAGGACTGTCCTCCATGCCTCACTGAGCCAATGCAGAAATCTTCCTGGAAAAGAACAGAGAGAGCTGCTTATGTCTGAGCTTGAGTTCCCAGGCGCCCCAAATGTGTCCTAATTCAAGATTTAGAGACAAGGAGAACATAAATCCATCCGGCTCTGGGCCAGAGGAGGGTGGATGTTGGTGTTTGCTCTTTAATCAATAGTATTAGGTTTTTCGATGGATGGATCTTAATTTGATAATCTCCCCAAGGAGTCATTGCTTTTGACATGGATGTATTACATGCTTTCCTGGCTACCAGGGAGACTGGGCCAGCTTCCCAATGGAATGGGAATGTTGCTGTCTTTATGTTTTCTTTGTTTCAGGATCCAGGAAGGGGCTTGGTTTGCATCACAGCTTCAAAGATTCAGAGTTGGAACAGATCCCAGTTAGTTCAGATTCTCTGCCCCCGGAAAGACCACACAGAGTCCTGGTAAACCATCCTCTCTGGGTGAAAATACTTTGTCCAAGAAGAACGAGGTTTTTCATATCAGAGGAGCCTCAGATTGCACCCTTAGTTGTATTGAAGTCATTCAAGCTACTGTTTGTATTGTACTTCATTTATTCTCCTTATTTCCCCCACCGTTTAGACCTAGCATGCTCACCATGGAGAAACTGGAGAGCCCTAGAGGTCCTGGATGTCCCCGGAGGGCTGGTGGTGGGACATTGGCACTGATGGTGAAGAGTGCATAAGCCAGTGCCAACTCAGACTGAGCTGAGGCAAGGGATGGGCTGGTGGTGTCCGGTCAGCTCTCATGATGTCCTCTTCTCTAACAGGGCTCCACCCTGCAGCTCTTGTCTTCATTCCACCACTACTAAAGTCATTCTCTGTTTCCACCACTGGAGTGTCAGCTCTGCAAGATCAGCGACAGGGCCTTCTGCATCACCAAACCCTCTGCTGCATCAGTGGTGTAGAATCGATACGTGAACGGATAGTTTATGCTTCAGAGAGGGTGTGAAGGGCAAATATCTAGAATGTATAAAGAACCACAAAAATTAAACACGTTCCCCAAATCTTCCAATCAATATGTGTGTTGATGAACAGAATAGATACTAACAGTTCTCAAGAGATGGAACACACATGGCCAATAAATATGTGCCAGTGTTCAACATCCTTACTAGTCAGAAGTCTGTAAATTAAAACTATTTGAGATTCCATACAACTCTAGGCAGAATGGCTACCATGAAGAAAAAAGAAAAGAAGAAAAGACAGCCAACAATGGAGAGGATGTGGGGCAAAAGAACCCTTATTCACTGCTGGTAGGAGTGTAAACTGATACAGTCATTATGGAAATCAGTGTAGGAGGTTCTCTAAAAACTCAAAATAGAACTGCCATAGTCCTTGCTATACTACTTCTGGGCGTATCCACCAAGCACTCTGGGTCCTACCCCAGAGATATTTGCTCATATGTATTCATTGATGCATTCTTACACTATGTAAGAAACAGAACCAACTCATATGACCATCAACAGATGACTGGGTAAAGAAAATGTGTGTGTGTGTGTGTGTGTGTGTGTGAGAGAGAGAGAGAGAGACAGAGAGACAGAGAGACAGAGAGACAGAGAGACAGAGAGACAGAGGAGAAAGGGACAATCAGGAAGAAGGGGGAGGAGAGGGAAGTGCAGGAGGAGAATTGACAAAAATGAAGTATTATGAAAAAGGCATAATGAGGATTGGAGAATTGGCCTAGCAGTTAAGAACAATTGCTGCTCGTCTACAGGACGTCAGTTCAGTTCCCAGTACCTACATCAGGTGGCTTACAGTCCCCTGTAATTCCAGCTCCAGGTTATCCAGCACTCTCTTCTTGCTTCTCTAGGTATACACACACACATACACACACACACACACACACACACACACACACACACACACACACACACACACTGAAACGAAGAAATGCCATAATGAAACCTATTACCATGCCAATAAGAAAGTAATACAAAGAAAATTAAATTAAAAACAAAAAAACTAGAAAAAAGTTATTCCTGGGCTCTAAAGTACAAACTAGACATGTATTTTCCTAGATCCACAGTTCAAAAATTCCATCCTAGTCATTTTAAACATTTTTTTACCTGACAATTTATTCTTACCAAGCCTCAGGTCCTCATCTATGAAATACACTCCTGCCTTGAGGGCTGCTGTGAATAATTATTATGCAAGACGATACTTACAGGCTCTGCTCCCTAAACTAACACACTAAGTAGACATGAAGCGTGGAAGATTTGTCATGCTTAGTCCTCATCTAGTGTACATTGTTCCCTTTCATGTGTTAATCAGAATGGAAGACCACAGAAATAGCTATGTGCTTGAGGCCCGGACAACTGTCCCTTCACTTGGGACAGTGACTGCTCCAAGAACTGATCACAGGATCCTAAAAGGGGTAATTAGGGTTCTTTCTTTTTTTATATCATTTTTTATTTTAATTTTAAATAGCTTGTTTTACATGTCAATCCCAGTTCCCTCTCCCTCCCCTCCTCCTGCACTCCCCTAGGGTTCTTTCTTAAGAATTCTGTTTGTGCTAAAGATGGTGGTGGGGTGGGGTGGGGACAGGCTATGAGTAGTTCAATCATAGTTTCCTGTCAAGAAGGAAGAACAAAACAAAAAATGGACTTTCTGCAGATGAAATAGAGACAAACAGAAAGAAGACACAGCTTTCAAGCCCTGACGGCAGGGTACCCAGAGCTCTTCCTTCAGCCTTTGACACTACAGTTGTCTTCTTTAACATGTAAACCCATATTTTGCTTAGAGTCTGCTTTCAGTCATAGCCAATCAACAAGTTATTCTTGGTCATGTGTTCATTAATTTAGCCTCTGATATATTCAAACAAGGCTTTTTGAACATAAACAGAACTGCTATGAAATAAAGGATTCGGCTCAGCTTCCTGGGAGAGAGCGTCCAAGCCCTTGGAATTTTCCCATGATGGAAGTCCCTTTGCTATTGACGGGTACCCTAGGTCACATCTGAGTTTCTACAGAGAAGATGACTCAGGAGGGGGCTGCTTATGCTGAGGATTGGCCAGCCAGTTGTTTAGAGAATGTGACTTCAAGCCAGACACCACCAACTTGACCTCCTCCAGGGAGGACAGGGGCTGGAGATTGATGTCAGGTCCATGGTCAATGATTCAGTCAATCATGCCTATATAAGACTATGCTGGGTGGTGGTGGTGCACATCTTTAATCCCAGAACTCTGGAGGCAGAGGCAGGAGGATCTCAAGTTCAAGGCCAGCCTGATCTACAGACTGAGTTTCAGGATGGCCAGAGGAACACGGAGAAACCCTGTCTCACCCTCTGTGCCCCCCCCCCAAATAACCAAAACCAAACAAAAGACTCCAGGAAGAATTCTGGGTTATCAGAGCCCAGCACAGCTTCTTGTGACAACTATATTGATGTACCTGGAGGCTGATATGTCCCAGTTCAAAGAAAAGAGGTTAGGGACAGCTTGTACTAACCCAGTATCCCTTCATTTGGCTGGTCCCAATTTGTATTCCTTATCCTAAGGCCATATGCACAACACTTTGGCAAGTCTGTAAATCAGTCTAGAGAATCATAAAACCCGATGAGGTTGTGGGAACTCTGGCATTAGTAGTCAGTTGATCAAAAGTGCAGGTGCCATCTGAAGTGGGAACAATCTTGTTGGAAATGATGCTCTTGATCTGTGGAGTCTAGTGTCAAGTCAGAGTATTATTGTAGTGCTGTGACAATGGCACATGTGATCCTGTCATCCTACCATATATATATGTATGAGAGAAAAAAGGTATGGCTTTTCAACAAATAAGAGATTTATATAAAGATGCTTATAGCAGCTTTGTTATTAATAGTCCTGAGTCAGAAACAACCAATTGGTAGGTGGCTAGATAGATGAATAGTACTATAGGCACTCTGGAATTATACTACCATTAACAAGAATGAATAAATGAAGAAATATGCAACATGGATGAATTCTAAAATAATTATGGCAAATGAAAAGCTGCACATAAAAAAGAAGACTATAGAAAATACATCTAAGCCAGGTGTGGTGGTACACACCATTAATCCCAGCACTCGGGAGGCAGAGGCAGGCGGATCTCTGTGAGTTCAAGACCAGCCTGGTCTATGAAGTGAGTTCCTGAACAGTTATGGCTGTTACACAGAGAAACCCTGTCAAGAAAAAAAAAGGAAAAAAACCAACAAAAAAAACAAACAAAAATCTATACTGTGTGCTTTCATTTTTATAAAACTTTAGGAAATACTATGTAATCTATAAGAACAGAAAACACACCTGGGGTAGATGCAGGGATGGATTATGGGCAGAGGGAAATTTTTGGCGAAGAGTTATAAAATCTTTTACTTAAAATTTTTAGTTCATGAGCCCCAATCTCTAGCTGAGTAAGAAGCTGTTGATGACTTCTGGGGGAAGGACAGGCAGTTTTCTTCACGGGCATGGCTCCTAGTAGGTCAGCCATGTTCCAGTGGATGACCCCATATCCATGAGTATATGTGCAACACAAATTGGAGTTGATGAGTGTGTTGACTACTCTTGACACAAGCTAGAGTCATCTGAGAGGAAGAAACTTCAATTGAGAAAATTCCTTTGTAAGATCAGGCTGTAGGCAGACCTATAGGCCTTTTTCTTCATTAGTTATGGATGGGAGGGCCAAGCCCATTGTGGGTGACTCAAACCCTGGACTGGTGGTCCTGGGTTCTATGAGACAGCAGGCTGAGCAAGCCAGTAAGCAACACTCCTCTGTGGCCTCTGCATCAGCTCCTGCCTCCAGGTTCCTGCTGGGTTTGAATTCCTAACTTGGTTTCCCCTCCAATGGACTGTGCAAGCCAAATAACCCTTTCTTCCCTAAGTTGCTTTTGGCCATAGTATTTCATGACAACAGTAGTAACTAACCCTGACTAGGAAAGTAGGTCATTAAAAAATAAACTAAACAGGACATGAAGTTAGAGCGGAGGATGAATCTAGGAGGAGTTAGGGAAAGGAATAGGGGTAAATAGAGATTATACAGATGTATGAAACTCTCAAAGAATTAATAAAAATAGTCAATGTACTTTTTATTATTGTGCATGTGTTTGATGTGGGTGTGGTGATCTGGGGACAACTGGGGAGTCTGTTATCTCCTTCCACTTTCACACATTTCTGGGGATCAAAGCACTTTGACCCACTGAGCCATTTTGATGGCCTTTGGCTGATGGTTGTGCTCACTATTTTCATTATAGTCAAAACCTATCAAATTGTATATAGTTTTTCATACGCAGATCACATCTCTATAAAGCTCTTACAGATAACATGGTAGCATCTATAACAGGGCTAGAACTCTTGCTCTGGTGTCTCATTGGTGGCACAGACCTAACCAAGTGGGAACTCCTCTTCTGACCTGCCTCCTGCTCATTCCTGTTGTGCTGGTTACAATCACCCAGGACCCAGAGTCACTCTTTGTTTCCCCTGCCCACGAAGAGTCAAATGGAAATGAAATTCTAGTCATTATTTCTTTACCGCTTCTTAACCCTAAGTGCTACTCTCCAGACTAGTTAAGGTGGTCATTCTCTCACCTCTAAACTCTTTCTTAGCTTTTGTTACTGTCCTGAAACACCAGAGGCAAGCTGCTCATAGGAAAAGGGAATTATTTTGCTCACAGTTTCACTGGTTCCAGGGTGTGGTACCTGGCATTGGATTAATTCTGGTGAGGACCCTGGTGGCTACATCTCATCATGGCAGACAGCCATGGAGAGTGCATGTGTGAAAGCAAGAGATTGCACTGGGCTACAGAGAACCAGGGAGGTGGAGTTCCCAGTTCCTTTTGAAGACACATTCCCAACTGACTTGAAGATGTCTCACCAGACTGCACCCCTTAAGGGTTCCATCTCCCAACCTTGCATAGGAATCCAGCCTGCACCAAAGGGAACCTTGGGAGACAAACCACATCCAAACCATAGCAGCTCTCTGATTTGCTGATCTCTGGTCTTACTATTCTACCCCATTTCTTCCCTCCCCCCCTCTCTCCCTCCCTCCCTCCACTCCTCCTTCCCTCCCTCCCTTCTCCTCCCTCCTGAGTCAGTGACCTTATGAGTGTCTTGTCTCATACCCAAGAAGGATAAGGAGTGAGCAGATGGAGTGTGGGAGGGGCTCTCAGGAAGGAAGACCTCCGTGCTGCTCTGCCTGGTGGGCTTTCATGGATCTTGTGGAGGGAACTGGATAGAGACTGAGGTCATCTTCATTGGAACTGATCATTTTTGAGCTCATCATAGGCTGAGCTGGTGAGAAAGCCACATGATTTATGCACACTCCCTGAGCCCGACCAGAGAGCACCGCTTGTCAGGTTAGGGGATGGGTCACATGTGCTACAGGATGAGCTCATGATCCACCACAGGCTGTGTCTCTTACTGCCTACAGGGGGCTCTCTTCTGTCTCATAGCCCCTGAAACATCTCTAGTCTCTGTATTCTCATGAAAGCTACAATCATTACCTTATGGTCTTCTGTTTGCCCACCAGGCCACATTCTCTACAAAGAAGGAACCCAGGTCTGTTTGGTTAACAGAAATACTGGTCATCAGTTTCAGGATTGCTAGGACCAATGTGAAAACATTAAGCAAGTCAGAGGTACCCCCAAATACAACACCACAGTGCAAGGGAGGAAGAGAGGGATCTTGTGGGAGGAAGGCTTCCAAGAGGGAAGGCACATAGGAGCAGGGCCAGGCCTTTTATGTGGTGACAATGAACTGAGGAGAGCAAGAAAGTGTACAGCCAGTGTAGAGACCAGAGCAGCTCCCTTTACCCAGCTGATTGGTGTACTGAATGGAAAGACGGGACAGCAGGGGAAATGCCTGGAGGCTAGAACTTGGAGGGTGTGAAATATCCAATTAGTTGGTGGCCAAGGGGAGTCATTGAAGATTTTTGAGCAGGTGAACTACATAATCAGCTAAGCTCCTCCTGCTGATTCCTCCCATCCCCATTCTCTTCCCTCCCTTTCTCCTTTTGTCCCTTCCTTCCTTCCTTCCTTCCTTCCTTCCTTCCTTCCTTCCTACCTCAAGGATCATGATAAACAACAGACATTGGAAAGGAATAGAGACCGGAAGTGGACATCCATAGCTTGGGTCATTGTCCAAACATTTGGGTATCAGGGTTGAATAGAAAACAGGAGAGTCCGTTGTGAGAGCCAAGGTGGAATAGAGACGCACAGCCCAGGCCCGACATCTGATTAGTCAGGGAAGATGAAGGAAAGACACCATGGGAGAATGAGTCAGCGCTTTCAACCGTTTCCCCCCAAGGATGACTGTATCTTTATTAAGTATCACCAAAGAGCAGATTTGGTAGGGAGTCTGGACTGAGTCAAAGAGGGGAGAGTGAAAGCATTTGGAATGAGTTCAACCTTTATAGCCACATGAATGCAATTCCCGTGTTCTTTGATCAAGAAATTCAGAGACCTCTTTCCTGCTGTGCTGAGTCCTCTGGGAGCCCCTGCCAGTCAAGAGGAAGGGAGATTCGTCTTCTTCACTGAGAGATTTTTTTTCCTTCTGCAATAAATAACAATACTAAATTGCAAGCGTGTGTGTGTGTGTGTGTGTGTGTGTGTGTGTGTGTGTGTGTGTGTGTGTGTGTGAGCATCAGGACCCAGCTCCTCAATCCTGCTATTGTGTTCACGAGCTGGGTAATTAGTGTCTGATAGTTTTAAACAGATGGGTCTCTCTGGCAGCAAGGATTACAGCTTGAAATCAATCCTGAACAAATATTATATTAATTTCTCAACTCTCTCTCTGTGGACAAAACGGGTTCTTTGCCTGCGAACGCTGTAATGACGAGGACATTAATATTAGATCAGTTAGAGATGAAACGGAAGTGGTAGAGGAGAAAGAAGGGATGGAACTTACGGGGCGCTGAGGGGAAGAGGCAGATGCTAAAAGTTTCATGGTGCTGGGAGCGGGAAGAGGAATTGTGAGCGCGTGCTGGGCTGGTGGGGCTGGTGGGAGGACTGCTCTTCAGGGTCTCACGCTCTCCAACTGCTCTGGTTCAGCTTGACATTGGCACCTGCTTTGATAACACCGAGGGCTTGTCAGGCCGGCTGGGTAGCCTCTGATGTTTGTTTGGTCTGTGAGAAGAGACCAGTTCCACATAAATAGGTCTGCAGGGGGCCTGGCTAGACTTCTGACTTTCCAATCAAACCCAGCAATCTACAATTCAAAAACAAACCGGGCTGCCTGGAGCGAGCCTGCAGCCCCACCCCACCCCCCCTGCTTCCACCACCTGGGTAGCCTTTTCCCTACCTAGACAGTTAAAAGAGAAAACCTGCTGCCTGAAACCCCACCCCCACTTAAGGGTGAGTGATGACCCTCTTTTCTCCTTGCCTTCCGGAGAGCTGAGTCCGGGAAGCTTTAAACGTATGGGCTGCACTGGAGAACGAATGCTAATGTAGCCCTCTCCCATTTGTCTTTAGCTTTCCAGGCTCCTCTTTTCATCTTTCATCCAGCCTTACCTACCTAACCACGCTCGGCTCAGGCTGACGTTAAGACGCGGCCTTAAGTAGCAACTGTGCCACTGTGGAAAGGGCACAGACCTCGGGGGTTGATTCTGCTCTGCTGATGAGCCAATGTCTGTGTGCCTCAGTTTCCCTATTGGCAAGAGAAAGGAAAGTGGGGGTAAGGAAGAGCCAATATGACAAGAAGCCCAAGGTCAAGTGGGGTCACAAGAACATGCTGCTTCCTTCTGATACTGACCCCTGGGACTAGGGAATAGGGGCGAGAGAATCCTGCAGGTGCGTGTGGGACCTGAATGCGATAACAGTAATGCGGAGTACCACAGGAGAGCCTGCTGCAGTTGCGGTGATGTCATCTCGTGAATAAAGGAGCTCTGAGGACTGGCCGCTCAGGGAAACAGAATAACGTAACAAGAGCGAAAGTCTGAGAGCAGCTGTTATGAGTTTTGTGTCTTACCTGACTTGCAAGCTGACATAGTAGCCTGCCATAGTTTCAGGCACGCTGGCAGAATGCATGGGCCTCCTGGGTCAGAGACAAAGCACGCTATTACGCAGCAAAGGAAGCAGCGGGAGGGTTAAGGTTAAAATGGCTCCCCTGCACCACTTCCAACAGTGGGACTGCAAGATGGTTAGGTGACAGGTCTTTACACGTGCCCAGGTGGTGGGGTGTGCTCCTGGAGAAAACATCGGGGAACCTAAAATGCTTTCTGAGGGTCAGAATCCTGGCCTGACGTTTGCCCCTTGCCCCAGAAAGAGATGTTGTTTTTAATACTAGGCTTTTAGCTTCTTCGCCTTTGCTTTGGAGAGACGCCATCTCTGTCTCCCAAGGCTGTTGGCTGTACAAACATCCTTGAGGAGACAGTTCCCAACAATTAATTAGCAGGCTGCACAAATGCAAAAGGCCTAGGGAAAATTCCTTCCCAAGGGAAGGCCATCTCTAGAAGTAGGGCAGAAAGCTTTCAGAACCTCTTTGTGACTTTAGCTGGGAGCCACAGGTGATGTGCACACACACGCGCACACACACACACACACACCACCACCACCACCACCACCACCACCACCACCATCACCAACTGCCCCTATCTTAGGAAAAGGTCTTCGCCACTCTCTGTGACTGAGAGCAATTTGGCTTTTAACTGGTGATGGGCATCACCAGGAAGCCACTAGAAATATACATTCTCAGGTTTGGCACCAGTAGAGCATCAGACATTCTGGAGGTGAGGGGTGTCCTGACCTTCTTGGTAGCTAATGCTCATCTCAATGTGAGACCTCCAGACTAGATCTGCCCAATCTTGCTCTTGCTCTGTCTCTCAACAGTGGTTCGTCAGATCTTCAAAAACCTGAGGTTCTTTGTCACTTGAGGTCTTTGCCAGCTGTGTTGCTCCCTTTGCCTAGAACACTGTTCCTTCCCAAAAGTTCTTATGGATAAGTCCTACTTATTCTTGTTTTCTGGTTAGTAGTCACCTCCTCCAGGGAGTTTGTTTTGAACCCCATTCCTAAGTCTATGCAAGTTCTCTGCACTCAGTGATCTATTCATTTGTTTATGTGTCTGTTTGTGTGCATGCAGATGCACGTGTGTGTACATGCAGATGCATGCATGTGTACATGCAAGTCTATGTGTACATGTGTGTATTCAGGTACACAGATGCACGTGGTGTGTATGCATGAGTATGGAGGCCACAGGAAAACCTCAGGAGAGGTGTTGTTGCTCCGGTATCATCCACCTTGATTTTTGAGACAGATCTTTCCTTGGCTTGGAGCTCACTGGCTAGCCTAGGCTGGCTGGCCAGTGAGTTTCAGGGATCTACTTGTCTCTGCCTCCCCAGTACTGGGATTGCAAGTACAAGCCACCACACCTGTCTTTTTTTATGTGGGTTCTGGGAATTGACTTGGGTCATCTTGCTTGTGTAGCAAGCACTTTACCAACTGAGCCTCTCCCCAGTCCCTTCACTTAGTGCTTTGGTATCCTCTCTTTTTCCTCATGAAAATGACCCACTATTGATGTTTTTCTGTCGGCTGCACATGAGTCTATGGATACTTTAATTATCATCTGCGACCCCACAGCTCCGCAGCTAACACTCCACTGGCCACTCAGGCCTCAGCCTGAATGGTCTTCTGGTCCCTCGGGTCTGGCTCTGCTGAGGATGAGATGTGAAAGTTTAAACCAGGTCTCAGTTGTTCTATTTACCGACAAAGATTTCGAAGTCAGATGTGAAGTTGAGAAGCAATCAGCTGACCTGTCTTGAGATGTGTCTCTTCTCTCATCCCAAACCAAAAGTATAAGCCAAACTCAAGTCCCTCCCTTTCCTTCCCGTGCATCTTGTCTGTCCAAATTGCTGGCTTCTTTCTCTATGGCCAATTCCAGTCTGCCAGCTGCTACCTGATTCCAGGTAAACTTTATTTAACAGTCTCAGAGTATCACAGTGCTATCAAAATCCCTCAGCGTGCTATCTTTGTCCCCATTGCCTAGTCACCTCCTGTAAAACCATGGTTTGGGGGGGTTAGGTTTGGGATTGGAAGGAAGCAACCAGCCTCAGCACTCTATTCCGACCCCTGCTCCAATTCACATCCCTCTCATGTGCAATGCCATTTATTCCATCCCATAGATCTTAACTCATCCCAGCTTTGACTCCAAAGTCTGAAACCCAGAGTCACATCTAAATACCATCTAAATCAGATATGGATGAGACTCAAGGTATGATTCATCCTGAGGCAAATTGCTCTCCAGCTGTGAACTTGTGAAATCAAACATTACTTGCTTCCAAAATTCTATGGTGAGGCAGGCATAGGATGGCTGTTTTCATTCCAAGAGGGATAAATAGAAAAGAAAGAGGTCACAGGTCCCAAGTAAGTCTGAACCCCATGCAGGGTAAACAAAAGTAAATCTTAAAGCTCCCTCTGGCTTGATGCCCTGTCTTCCACAGACTGGGTCCTGCAGACTCTGGGTGGTCTTGCTCTCTTACTCTGTGGCCTTGCTAGTGGATTTAGGCCCGGGGTTCACATCCTCTGTGCACTGGCAGAGATGGCACTGCACCGGTGCTTGCCAGAGGGGTAGCCACTGATCTATACCACTCCACCACTCCCAGGCCTGCTGGAGCCAGCCTTCGGACAGCCAAGGGATTTGGAAGGTGGTGGTCCTGGGCAGTATGCATTTGGCCCCCTTGGATATCTACGGCCCCTCCTTTGAAGCCATTTTGCTTACAGGTCTGATTCTCTGGGCCTGTGATAGGAGAAACAGCACAGCTCCAATGACCTCCAAAATGGTCTTTCATCACAAGCAACAGCTGTATAGTGTCCACTATCCTCACGGAGTGAACACTCGGTCACACCCTGGGTGTTTCTTTTGACCTGCTTTCTTACTTTATTTTTTACAACACAGACTGAATCCCCCAAGTCCTGCTTCCCTTTTGATTAGAAATTCCATCTTTAAACCATTTTTCTCATCTCACATTCTATCATAGCCATTCAAGAGAATTCAAGCTGTGCCTTCAAGACTTGGCTTAGAAATTTCTTCAGCCAATATGCTATTTTATAGCTCATAAGTTCTACCTTCTACAAGACACGAGGGCAGGAACACAATTCAGGCAAGCTCTTTACCATCTTTTTACAAGAATCACATTTCCTCTATTACCCACAGTCACATTTCTTATTTCTAAGACTTTACCAGAATGGCCCTTACTGTCCATGTTTCTCCAAACACTCTCTACGTGACCACTTAGCTGTTCTCTGGGAACACTGACATTTCCTCTATAGCTCGCCTCTTCTCTGAGCCCTCTTCATGATTGGGCTTTATGATATTTCCATGGCAATGTGGGCTTTGACTGACAAGTGCCTCAAAACCCTTCTTTTTTCTACCTACTACCAAATCCCCAAGATGCTTCTACAGCATTAGGTATTCAATACAACATCAATCCCACTGCTAGGTACCCACTTTTGTTTGTTTGTTTGTTTTGTTCTAGTCTACAGAGGCTGCTATCCCAAATGCCACAGATTTGGGTGACTTTTAAACAACATGAACGTATTACTATTGCATTGCTTGTCATCGTGTAGATTGGGAAGCCTAAGACAAGATGCTGGGAAATCCAGTGTCTGGTGGTAGTTGCTGCCTGCTTCTGAGTTATTTTTTCTCATTTGTCACCACCCCCGCCCCCAATGGAAAGCAAAAGGGAGCACTCCATGGCCTCTTTCATTCAAAAGGATGCTAATCCCATTCTGGTGCAACAGTTACCTCCCAAAGGACCATTTTCTTTTCTCCTTTCTTTCTTTCTTTCTTTCTTTCTTTCTTTCTTTCTTTCTTTCTTTCTTTCTTCCTTCCTTCCTTCCTTCCTTCCTTCCTTCCTTTCTTTCTTTCTTTCTTTTTTGGTGTTTTTGAGACAGGGTTTCTCTGTGGCTTTGGAGACTGTCCTGGAGCTAGCTCTTGTAGACCAAGATGGTCTCGAACTCACAGAGATCTGCCTGCCTCTGCTGGGATTAATGGCATGTGCCACCACTGCCCGGCCAAAGGACCATTTTCCTAAGACCATCACTTGGGGGCAGAGTTTTGACACATGAGCCCTGTGGTGGACACAAAATCAGGTCAAATACCACTGGACTCTCTCTTCACCTGGAATCAAGCAAGGGCCACACTCGTCTTTCATTTAATTCCAATCCAGTTGGGGTGGAGACTGTGGAAGATGTCATCACTGGAACCCTGAACCTTCTACATCTATGTGACCTCCTAGGATGTGACTTCCTAGGAACACACAGATGAAAGTTGAAGGACCTTGCTCTATTCTGTCTGCTGTAATTCAAGGGATTGCCTAAGGGAAAAGAGCAAAGTCCAAAACCTGTCCCCCTTTGGGGGCACACAGTGCAGGTCAGCGTATCTCCTGGGGCTGTGGGTCATGGGCCTGTGGGTAGGAAGTACCACCTAGATCCTAGAAGACTAAGAAGAGAGAGAAGAGAGGAAAGTAGCTCTCTCTTCCTAAACTGATGGTGTGGCACTGGGGCTTCAACTCACTCCTCTCATTTAAGCATGACTTAACTACCTTGTGACAGTTAATCCCTCCCTTTCTTACAAATGAGAACAGAAGCCCAGAAGGGCCAAGACAGCCTTCAAGAGCACCGAGCTTCCACATGGCAAAGCTAATGTTGTAGATGGCTCTATCCAACATAGGGCTTCATGAGTCCTCTCTGGATGTGCATGCAATGAAGAGTTGTCAGAGGCTAAAGGCTTTGCTAGGCCAGCATTAGTGGATGAGTGAGAAGACCCATGACAAAGAAGCCAAAGATTCCACCATGCAACCCACATGCTCATTCTCCTCTGTGTATAGAATGGAAGAGACGTTCGGTTGTATTATTTTCAACACCCTTCCCAGATCTGGCATTCCCCAAAGCCCCTGTGGGCTGCTTCCAAACCCTACCAATCCTGATCAGACAAGAGCTGAGTCTGACTCACCCTGCCTAGTAGGGGGTGAAGGGTCAGTCCTTCACCTGACACCCTTCATTGACCATCCCTGCAGCTTCCCACTTCACATCTAAAACAAAGAAAGGGAGTGAAGATAGCTGGGTAAGGAACTTGAGAAAGACGGGCACCCTTCACCCCACCTCTATTACTAGGTACAGCCCATTAGACTCAACTATGGCTATACCTGGAAAATACGAGCTTGATTTGAAAAAATGCTGATGACCAAGTCTACCTACTAAGATGCTGATTAATTGCCCTGGGCATTGGCATTTTTGAAGAAGAGTAGTGAGGTCCTTCCAAACTGCATGGTTCTTTAAAAAAAAAGCGTGTATGTCTAAATGTGTACACGCACGCATGTGCGTGCATGCGTGCATGCGTGCGTGTGTGTGTGTGTGTGTGTGTGTGTGTGTGTGTGTGTGTGTGTGTGTAAACCACAGCATGTTTGTGGAGATCAGAGGACTACCTGCAGAAGTTGCTTCCCTCCTTCCATCATGATAGATCCTAGCAATTGAACTCAGATCATCAGGCTTGTCAGCAAGTACCTTTACCAACTGAGGAGGCAGGGCCTTTATTATATCTGGAGCTCAATGAGTTGGCCAGACTGGCTGGCCAGCAAGCTCCAGCAGATCTTCTTGTGTCTGCCTCTGTGCCGAGGTTACACACACACACACTGCCTGAGCTTGGCTTGTATGTGGGTTCTGGGGGTCTCAGAGCTCCTTATTTACCCAGCAAACACTTTGTCTCCTGGAATATTCATGTTTGTCTCTCTTCCCAAACGCCAAGCTTTCTGTGGCTATGGGGTAGCTAAGAAAGATAGGTAAAAAGGAAGGTGACAGTTTGGTGGGCAATATGACACCTACTAGCCAGGTCTAGGGAAACTAGGGTCCTGGGGTTGCAGACACAATAGGATGAGGGTGTGAGCTACTCACAGCAAGGAAAGGCCATTTACCTGAGCATCCTAGAGACAGCTGTTGGGCGGGCAGTCTTGCAGGGCTGATCCCTTCGTTTGGCCATCAGAGTGAGGGTGACAGCTCAGTGCCAGTGGAGCCAGGGCCCCTTGAGAATGTCTGTTATGTAAGGCCCTCCCCTATAGCACTGGCTAATAGGCCACTCCAATCCATGCAGCTGGGATACAAAGGACTTAAAATCTCTAGCCACAGCTGCCCAGAATATGTTGGTGGGAGAGGACAAGCTAAATCCCTGTTTTCACTCCTTCCCCCCAAATGGAACTCACGTAAAGCCTTTAAACCACCGGCTTTTATCTGTTTTTAGTGTCCAATTTAGGGCTTTGCAGGGGCTCCCTCCAGGGCTCTCTCAATGGATTTATATCACAGCCAGATAGCATCTTCGAAAGCTCATCTGAACTGGAAAATAGAGAAACATCCTTCTCCATTGTCAAGTGACAAGCGATGGCACCCAGGTTGCCGGCGAGAGTGCACAGGGGATCCACTCTGGATGCTGTGGCTGGGGTGTGCCTTGCCAAGGGAGGGTGGCAGCTGGGTAAGAAAGGAGGGGAGCACTTCCAGCAGGGGCCTGAACTGCCTTCCCTTTTTTGGGTATGGACTCTCCAATCCTGAAAGTCTTGAAACAAAGAAGTCACTGTCCTCTGGGCTTGTCACCTGTAGGCAAGAAGATGTCAGCTCCCTGGCCAACCACCAGGTGCCATTTGCAAAGAAATGTTCAGGGAGGGTGATGGTAAGGATGCCTGCTCAGGCTTGCCTGGCAGGAAACAACAGTTCTTCTTTGTATTACTAAGCGGGCTTCTTTAGCTTCCCGCAGGAGCTGCATTAACCCTTACTCTCTGTCCAGTGGTCTCTGGGTAGGGTATTCGTGGGCTCTTTCTTTCCATGCATGTTTGTTGAGCATCTGCTATGTGCCAGGTAGTGTCAAGGATGATGAGTGTGTGTATGCAGGGGGTGATGCTGGGGGAGCAAGCACTGCAACACACGAGTGGTTAGAGCCAGAGCCTGGCCTGTGGGCTCAGGGGTCTCCCCAGACTGACCGCCCAGGAACTGTGGGCGTCCCTCGCAGGAACACGCAGCAGAAGCTCCTTTACCTGAGACTGAGGATTTGTTGGATTCCCAGGACACTCCAGGTTTATGCCTGTTGTCCTGGCAACACTTTCATTCTGAAAATGTCAGAGTTGAGCTGACAAACAGGTGTAAATCAGAACCATTTCTAAAAACCTATGAATGCTGTATTCACAGGACGTGCATCATACAGGCTGAGACTGTTTTGTGAAGCTAAGTCGGCATACCTGGTAGGTCTGTGGTGTGTGTGTGTGTGTGTGTGTGTATGGTGTGGTGATATGTTGCATGTATGAGTGCTGTGATTGTAGTATGTGTATGTTTGTGTGTATGATATGTGTATATGCATGTGGATAGTGGGTATGAGCAGTGTATGCTATGTGTGTAAATATGTGTATGGTATGTGGTATGTTGTCTGCATGTGTTTGTGATATGATGTGATATATATGTGTGTGTGAATACTTGTGTGTATATGTATGTGTGTGGAGTGTGGTATGTGTGTACATGTGTATACATGTGTGTATGATGGAATATTTTGCAGAATGTATGCTCTTGCTCTAGTAGAGATTATGAAAGTGACTTTGCAGTTGGAAATGGTGATCATGAATATGAGGAAATCCACGAAAGCTTGCCTGACTTTTTCAGTTCACTAAATTCAAGTACAGAAAGAGAAGGGAGAAAGACAACGGAGAAGAGAGCACATGCCCTGCCACCCTCGGGCTCATTCTCACAGCAAATCTGGAAGTGAATGTAGCTGACACATTTTCCAAACGAGGAAGCTGAGGCTTGGGAGAGTCCATGGCTGAGTGGGCCACAGGAGATAAGCAGCAGATCTGGCCTCCGGATCTGACGTCACACAGAGCAGCTTGTCTTGGGCAGTCCTGGGCAAGGCTGTGCCGGCTCTAGCTGCTTTCTCTTCTAGTCTTGTCACAGCCCTTGATTCCCAGAGGCCTCTCACAGTCCTCTGGGAATCTCATTTCCTGGAAATGTCATGTAGAATCCATCTTAGCCTCCAACCCTTTTGTCCTTTCAGATCCCATCCTGGGAGTCTGAGGGACAAAAGATGAGACATTTGGAGCAAGGAAGAAGCTAGAGACACGAGGGGCTCACCTCTAGGTCACACCAACCTTACACTCTGATGAGCCATGAATGGCTGTCAGGATCCTTCTAGCTTTGGTGTGACCATCATCCCAGTGGTGCGGTCCCTCTTCATCCTGACTCAGGTGGTGAAATGTGGAAACTGGCATCTTTGGAATCGTCTGCCTTCTCACTGAAAGATCTGGATTCTGTAAGATCTGTCAAACAGGCTCCCCACATACAGCCTCAGCAGAAGACCAAAGTCCCCCCATTAGAATGTCCTCCAGCTTCCAGCCAGGGGGCGTGAAGGCACTTTTGCATTGTGAGGACACCTGATGTGTGTGCTGTGTGAGCTGTTCTTGGACATTGCTTGGCTCTGGGTCTCAGCAGGGTCAGGGGTAGGAGCCTGGTCGAAACCCTGGGGGAAGCATCTTTCTAGGTCAGAGCCAGGGAGGAGGCCACGGTGTTTGTTTCAGTCGGCTGAGCAAGTTGTTCTGCTGGGACTTGCTTCTACCAAGTCCCACTGGCATGCACCCTCTTGGCTGGCATCATTTCCTGATGCCAGATCCCTGCTCTACCCCTTCAGTGACAGCTCTCTGACTACAGGCGTCAGAAACACCTGCCTCGTCCCTCCCCAGCAGGGCTCAGGGCTTCCTGCTTGTTAGTGAGGGGCCCAGCTGGGGATGATAAAGACGGACATCACTAGTAGACCCAGCCTCCTTGCTCAAGTGGTGGTGGAGGTGAGGCACGCCTGAGCACTTCCTTGCCTCTGCCAGGCAGGAAGGCTGGCCTACTGCGTGCACCAGATGGGCTCCTCCTAGGTGTTCCTAGATGAGAGTTATCTAGGGCCTGAAGAAGGACAAAGGGACTCTGCTTCTGTCTTTACACCTCATTGCTGCTGGCTGGGATACCGGCCTCCAGACAAGGGTGTTTGCAGTCCCAGAATGCGCTTTCCAAATCATGGCCGTGAAACCCTACCCTCTGAAGTTTCACATATTTCTTGGTGCTTGCGATGTTTCTTCCTGTGACTTCATTCTGTCCCGGTTGTGTTCTGTAAGTGACCCCGGTGTCAGAGGGTTTGCTCCAAAGCATCGGGGTCAGCTCAGGCCTGAGAAGGGGGTCCGGTAGCGTGCCATTTATGCCAGTAGAAAAGAAGCAACTGTGTGTATCTGGACCCTCAGTGCTGTTTCCACACGTGTACCTTGATGCCAGCGCTGTACATGAGATGTGATCCTCGTATACCTCGTTGATGGGAAACCCAGAAACTAGAGCTAGAAGGCAAGTGACTGACTGACCATGGTGTGGGTGAGGCAGCGAGCACAGACCACTCTACAGTGGGCAGTCACAGGCTCCCTCCTTCTCAGTGTGAGCTCTGGGGCCAACTTGGGACTAGGAGACCTGGGACTGTGGATCTGCAGGTGCTTGGACCACAGGAGGTTTCCAGAATGGAGGAGCCTGTTGCTGTGTAGACTAGCCAGGACTTCAAAACAGTGGTGTCCAGTGGAGAGGCCAGGTGGAGAGGGACTGCATCCAGTCTGTCTCTCAATATAAAGTGGAAGTGTGCAACTATTTGCAGGTCTCATTGCCCTCATGCTGAGAAGGAAACAGAGACACTGAGCCTGAAGACAAGAGTGCAGAGCCAAGTAACACAAGCAGCTTGTACTTAAGGTAAATATTGGCTGAGTTGCTGCCCTGGTCCTGGAGGTGGGTGGGTGCCCTTGATGGGACAGAATGCATCATTCAAGAGGGAATGAGTCAGACACAGGGTGAGCCTAAGCATGACAGAATTGTGGGGTGCACAGGATGGCCAAGTGGACCCCAGCCTGCTCCTTTCTCCATCTCTTCCTTCTTCATATCTCTTGGGTTTCACTGGAGCTGGCCTTCTAGACTGGCCTGTCTGCTGACACCAAGTGACACCAAGCAGCTTCCCCTCCCTGGTTCCTGTGCCATCTGGTGCTCCTGCCCCAGGTTAGATCCTGCCTCTGGCCCTTGCTGCAGCTCCCCCTGCTTTTCCGGCTGCCCCTGCCATCCTCCCATCTCCCCATCTGTCTCCTCCCCTACTTCATCCTGCCTACCCAGGCTGCTCTCAGCTCCTCAAACCTTGGCCTAATCCTAGCCTGGGAATGGCCTGAGGTCCCGATCACCTTTCTCAGCTCCAGGACCAGGGCTCAGCCCCTGGAGACAGGCCTAGACTCCTGCCATGCCCTCTCAGTGTCATCAGCAGCAGGTGGCAGTCACATGGCCAAAAGGCCTGTCCTCAGTCTTCACATCACAACCCAGATTTTCTCCGTTATGGTATTGATTTCCTCTGCTGAACTGCTAGGATCAAAGACTGCCTGGGCAACTCGGCAGTTCATTAAGTCCCGGCTTCCCCAGGGGACTGGCCAGAGGATACACATGTGCACTGCAGGCCAGGCCAGGGCCTGGGGGACAGCCCACTACAGGGGGTGCAGCCCACTGCACAGAGTACCTGGCATTGCGTTGGATCAGGACTAGGTGGCTGGGAAGGGCAAAATGCAGGCAGGCCATGCCAGGGTCACGTTTGCATGGCTGCAGCAGCCACATCTAGGATCAGCTGCCATGTCATGACCAACAGGATACAGTCCCTGTTCCTGCACAGCCTCCCCACCACCGTTCCAGTACCTCTCCCATCAGACACCCGCTGGGCTCTGTATTGCGCACACAAGGCCAGACGCCCAAAGACTGTGCCCCACCTGAAGCAGGGCAGTGGGGCCGGGGCTATGGAAACTATTACTGAGCTAGAGGTCATCTCAAGGTTTGCCCCAAGTCTTTGCTCTTGTTTCTCAAGTGACTCCCTGGACAAAATTTTAGATGGATTTGGTCTCCGAAGTACAAAGTAGAAGATGAGGTTCGCAGCTGTTGGTCCTGTTGATTTTCCGTTTCCTTTCTCTTTGCCCCATCAGGCCGTTGGCCTAGGGAAGAGAACACCTGGATGGGTCAGTCCTGGCAACTGCAGACAGAAGCATCGCTCATGGTAAGCGATGTGTGATGGCAATGGCAGGAGGGAGGAAAGATGGGGGAAAGGGCAATGTTCTCCTGGTCCCCACTCCTCAGACGACACAGCCTCCTTCTGAGATCCCACCCACCTTCCATCCCGTCGGTCCTTTCCCATGGTCCCTCGCTCACATGAAACGGGAGCACTTGTATCGATAGGAGGGCATTCTTGGGGGAAAAGGGTCTGGAGGCCTGTTATGCCTTCATGAAGACCAAGGGAATTTGAAGGCTCAGCACTCCCAAGGGCCCGCCAGAGGCTAGGGGACGATGGTACCTGACAATAACAAAGACTCTGTGGGGAGGAGAGCTCGCCCACCCCCAGCCTGCACTGTATGTGGTAGATGCCCTGGACCATGCAGGGCCTGTGGCTTCATGATGAGAGCAGATGAATTGACAGGAAACTGCCTGAGACAGGCCAGGCTGTCTGGGGCTCTTTTCTGAGTGAAGCATACGCCAGAGACAGACAAGTCTGGGGCTGATGGAGCTGCCAGATGGGCGCAGGTTTGTTCCCCCCCCAAAGTTCTAGTGATGCAACCAAATAGGCTCCTCCCTTGTTCCAAAGCTGTTGCCAGCAGCAGTGGAGTCAGAGATCATGCTCACAACTGTCCCTCTCCTCCAGTCACAGGGTTGGGTAGATGACATCATTCATTCAGTCAGTCCTCCAATCAGGAGTTGATTGCTAAGTGCAAAGGCATCATGTTGGCTCTAGGGATGCAGAGCTGGGCAAAATCGACACATTCTTCTTGCTACAGAACCTGTCTTTTGTCAGCTCGAAGTCACCACCGCCCTGGGATAGGGACAGAAGGGTCTGGATAGTTAGGAGATTAAAGTCTGTGTCAAGATTGCACAGAGAGCTAGGGATGTAGCTCAGTGACAGGGTGCTTGCCCAGCAGGTACAGGGCCCTGGCTTCGAGGATGGTGAGGGAAGCCTAATGAAATCACTGTCCTATACCATACACAGGTCTTCCTGTTCTTTATCTCAGTTGTCAAGGGCATGAGCCCCATTACAGACCCGGAAGCTGGGCTTCCAGGAAGCCAATGATCTCACCAGAACCTGGTCTCACAGCCTACACTTGCTCCAGCTTGGGTTCTCGCTCAGAAACACATTCTCAATGGAAATTTTAATCTCCTACCCCCACACCCCTGCCCTGGAGCACTACAGACTCTCTGACACCCTGACTCCCTCTCAGGCTGGGAGGAGGAGGAATCATGGAGATCCAAGAGCAAACCCTGTTTCCTTCCCTGCTTCCTTCCTCCCTCCAGTTTGTATCTGTTCCTGGAAATCCCTGTTGTACCTACCCACCCACCCACATTGCCCCAGAAAAATCCCAAGAGAGCTTCGCAACTCTATTTAAACCCCCGCTGGAGCGCACGGAACCGCGTCGTCCTCCTAGCCCGCACTGGGTCTCCATCTGGTTCGGGGGCTATTTTGATCTACCGGATGCAGATCAGCCGCTGAGATCTGGGGCTGAGTGGCTAGAGCAACGCCTTTATCTACAGAAGGACAATTTAGAAACTAACGCAAAGCCCAGAGAACAAATAAATAAATTCCTCTTTCTGTTCACAGCTCTCTCTCTGTTCTGTTTCTACAGGTAATTGCAGCGGAATTTTTCACTTCAAACAGGCTCTTAGGTGTATCAAGCTTAGGGCACTGTGGAGGGGATTGAGCACAGGCGACTCTGGCTGGAAATTCTGGTGGGAGAGGAACTGCCCTCTTGGGGGACAGGAGACAGGCATCTTCTGGGCTCTAGAGCCCAGACTCTAACTGGAGTCTTTTTAGGATTGGAATTATGGCCTTTTTGCCTAATCATGGAGGGAAGGGTTATCATAGGTGCTCTAACTGGAACCCAAAACAGGCATTGTTATGGCTGGGTGTTTGTGGTAGCTGAAATTATGCGCTTTCTACATAGCTCAGGCGGGTGATGGTGAGGGTGTCCAAAACTTGAGAGGCGGGGGTTGGGGGGGCACAGGTGGCAGGGAGGAGAGAGGTTCCGCAGCTTCTGAGAGACTGCGGAGACAAGGAGGAGGAAGGCAGGAAGAACAGAGACAGAACTTCTTTCTGCAGGCTCACCACAGCCTCCTTCACTGATGAGCGCCGAGGCTGTAGGTCCAAGTTCACTTGGAAATGGCAGAAGCAGAATTCTAATGCACACCTTCTAGGAGAAGCTCTGGTCTCAGTGCCACACTGCTCCTTGAAGAGTGGCGCAGAGCGATACAAGGCGCAGACAAGCTGGGAGGGTGAAAAGGAGGAGGGAGGGGCTTTTCTTCCCTCTTCCCCCTCCCTCCCTTCACCACTCTCCCTCCACTCTGCTCTCAACTCGGGAAGCTGCTGACACCTCTCCAGACTGCATATGCCCATGTCATGGCCAGAGACAATTGTCCTTAGGGTGTGGCCAGCCTTGATCTAGCATCAGGGGGATGGGTCCTGTTTTTTCAAAGATATTGGACTCAGGATGGTAAGAGTGATCACCAAAATACAGGAGCATCTCACCAGGGTCGTCCTGAGCTGGGCAGAGTCAACGGAAGTGGGGGCGCCATGGAACTGGGTCCTTGAGTGATAGCTGGGTGTGTGGCCCAGTAGCTCAGACACAGACAGCAGATGAACATGATTTAGGGATCTTACTTTGGAACCTTTGCCTGGCTGGCCACAATTATCACCCTCGTATCAGTGGAAATACTAAGCTCCAGTAAGCCAAGGTTGGTAGGTACAGATCAAGGTCTGTCTCAATCCTAGAATTTTTACTGAAAACCCAAACAACTATAGGTCATGCTTTCGGAGCTTTCTCCTACACTCTGCTGAACACTTTGACCCCTCACAATCTTTCCCTGGCTTGGAGATAAGAAACCGAAGTTGAGATAGGTTCATACTTTACCATGAGTGACATAAATCTCAAGCCAGGGCCAGCCCCAACGCCTATGCTTTTAACCGGTGGGCCACTTCCTATTCCACATGGATACCCAAACTACTGGGGCAGTGGACTTTTGAAAAACCTTAATTTCCATCCCCAGGGATTCTGGGAGGGGTATTGATGTGCAAGTCAGACTTGGGCTAGTTGATCCATTTGTTTACATGTGGGCACCTGCATATGTGCACACATGTGGTGACCAGAGGTCAGCATCGGATATTGTTCCTCTGGAGGCACCCATCTTGGTTTTTGAGACAGTGTCTCACATTGGTCTAGAGCTTGCCCAGAAAGCTGGGTTGAGTGGCAACAAGCCTTTCCGGCCTCCCTGCTCCAGCCTCCCTGATCACTGAGATGACAAAAGCATACCATCACAACTGGTTTTTAAGTGTGCATTCTGGGGATCGAACTTGGGCCCTCCTGATTGTGCAGCAAGTGCTTGGCCAACTGATCTACTCCCCTACCTCCAGTCACAGTGCTCTTTTAAAACGTTCTTTAGTTGTCTACCATAACTGAATGCCAAGGACCTAACATGAGGTTCCCCAGCTTCCTGTAGCATCTATGAAGCACATTCAGTGCTCAATTTAGAGAGAGGAACGGAGAGAAGGAGAGGGAAGGGAAGGATTAGAGAATGAGATAATGAATGAATGAGAGAGTGAGTGAATGAATGAATGAGAGAATGAAAAAAAGTGAATGAGATAAAGAGAATGGAAGAAAAGAAGCCAGATGGAAAAGCTAGTATTCATGGGCTTTGGACTTAGGCAGGTCTGGTTTTGTGTTCTGACTGCACTGGTAATATTAGATATGTGTAACCCAAAGCAGTTTTGTACCTTCTTTGAGACTGGATGAGTCACATAAACTGATGCTATGAACCAGAATCTCAATGCTTTGTAGTGAGGTTTAATGTAGTAATTCCTATAAAGAAGTTAGTACAATTAGCTAGCTCACCTCAAGCTTCTAGAAAGGGCAGATTCATAGCATCATCTACCATGCAGCCAGAAGCCAGGGTGATCCTGTGCTTAGGGAAGCCAGAGAGCCGGGTGGACTATTCCTCACGGCAGAGGAGTTCATTAACCAGCTCGGGATTCAGATGGGCAGGCGCTAAGGAAGAGTGAGGCTTAATTCCCGTGCACACCCAGGGGAAGGGGCTCTTTTGGAAGAGATTTGCAGTGGCTTTAGCTGATTGCAATTACTCTGTCCTGCACCGTGCCGAAAATGAAATGAAACCCTAACAAAGTTCCAGGTTTAATTGAAATTTCCTGGGATCTGTTATTACATCGCTGTGATTGTTCTGTGCCACTAATGAGCCTGTGCTAGCTGATTAGCCAAGTGTCTCTCCAGTCACTATTCCATTATTGCATTATTAATGATCAGATATGATTGTCACAGCCCAGGGCTTGAACATCCAACAGGCAGGAGACAAGCCAGACAACCAGGCAGATGGACAGATGGCCTGGTGAATGGGATGGTTGTGTTAGATGACAACCTGGAGCCCAGAGTAGGAGGAAGGGCCTGTGTCAGTGGGATGAGGGGCCAGGTGTGGTACCTCTCAGTGACAGAGGGGGTGTGAGTGGACATGGCAGCACCCAAGACTAGATCCTGTGAACCTGAGGTTCTGTGGGTCTCTAGCTCTTACTCCCCTGCTTATCTGCTGGAATAGCCAAGGACTCTTTGGTTTTGCCATTCTTTTTCTAGTCAGTGCACAAAATACTGTGTCTTGTCATGACATGTGTGTGTGTGTGTTACTTTATTCATAGTTGCCCCTCCCCATCACTTTCTCCTGTCTCTATCCTCAGCCTTGATGGTTTCCTTTCTTCCATCTGTTTACATACATACACACACACACACACACACACATACACACACACACACACACACACACACACACACACACCTCATGTATAGAGTTAAATTCAGAGTTACCACGAGAAAAAACACATAGCATTTTGTCTCTCTTTTCTCTCTCTCTCTCTCTCTCTCTCTCTCTCTCATTCTCAACTCTACTCTATTATTGGTCTATCTATCTATCTATCATCTATCTATCTATCATCATCCATCTATCTATCGAGACAAGGTCTCTCAATGTAGCCTGACTGGCCTGGAATTCACTATGTAGACCAGGCTGGCCTTGAACTCACAGAAATCACTGACTTCTGCCTCTTAAGTGCACCTCTAAAGGTACATGCCACCACACCTGATGTCCATCTCCCTTTAGGCACCTTCCTCCTCACCTCAGAGTCTCTCTTCTACTTTCAAGTCATCAAAGAGACAAAATCCAACATTTATGCATTAGCTTCCTCATAGAGCCTGGAAAGTAAGTGTGAGGTCAGAGTCAAGGACAAGAAGGGGAGGGCAGGGAAGGGCGATTCCATAAGCTTCCGCCCTGGCAAGCATTCTGAGCAGCCCAAGTGCCACCCCACTCCATGAGCCTGGGTGTCCAGAGTGTGAGTTATGGAGAAGGTCGAAGCAGTATTTGTCCAGGGCACTGTGAAACTGTGAGGGAACAGCCCTACACATGAAGCCCATGTCAATCATTTAAAAACCAGCCCCTTTTCTGTACCAGCGGAGGGGCTGGAAGCAGAGGAGTGGGCCATGGGATGAGTCTGAGGAGCTTTCAGAAAACTGCCGGTTGGCTCAGGGTGATGGTCAGACAGAATGAGCCAGGGGTTGAACCAGGAGGACCCAGACGCCCCACTGGGCAGCATGCCCATTTTGCATCTAGACACCCTGGCTCCTATTCCCAGCTCTCTCACCCTAAGCCTCCCTCCCTCAATCTAGAACACATCTTTTCTGAAAATGCCAGACACTGCGAGGTCATAGCAGGCCCTCGATTGCTGCCAAATTTCATTCTTCAAAGACCAGTGTTGTGCTGACGTGAAATGCAAGCCTGGAAACAAGAGAGGAGGGGAAAGGATTGATGAAATGGAGGGAAAACTCATAAGGAGGAGGGAAGAAATTGACATTTGAACATGGTTTTGTAATCGGAAAATTGATCCCAAGACTGCTCCCTCCCATAGAGAAAGGCCGAGGCTGCACTGTGGTTTCCTGGAGCCCATGGTGGGGGCCACCTGTTCTGTTACCCTTGCTGCCTACAGCTCACTGTCTCCATGGCAAAGAGGCGAATGGATGGGGGCTCCCGCAGCCATGGTTTCCCTGGCAACCCTCAGGCTCTCCCACCTCCAGCCACATGACTGGCCTGGCCCTACTGCCCCCCCCCACTGCTGCACAGCTATTTGGGAGGAGAGAGGGGGTGGCACTTCCCAGCCACCCACAGTCCTGTGAACATGTACACAGGTGTCCCTCTGTGGGCTTCGGGTGTCCACCCACCCATGGCACCCACTCTGAACTAGCCTAACCTGCGGGGGACTGAGCGAGTTAGCCAATCACAGAGATATGCTTCAAGTGTGGGATGAAGACTCCTGTAGGCACAGCCTGGATGCCTCCTCTTGTCTGTAAGGGAAAACTGAAGAAGTTAGAAGAAAGCACTAACAAAGAAGATGTCCTCTCCCCTCAAGCATGACTCCGGCCAGCATGACTAAGAGTCATGATACTGTAATCCTGACGATCCTGTCATGCAAAAGTGTCTTCTAGAAATAGACAGAACGGTTCTTGTTGTCGTGTCCAAGTTATGGAAGAGGAAGCTGAATATCAGACAGAGTACCC